TATTTATTTTGCGGGCAGCTCACTCAAGATAGTCTCTGCCAATAGCCGTGCGCGAGACCAGATAAGGTCAAATATTTGTGAAAAGCTATACCGAAAGGTTTTCTTGATAGAGACAGAATTTCAATCGAGATAATAGAATGAGATATTGCGTCAAGCTTGATGTACTCGATATATTCATCTCCGGGCCATGGAGTATGCCCCTATCAGCTATTAGCCTCTTTCTCATTTGAAAATGAGTCCTTATTTTTGACAGACAACCGATCTTACAGTACTGGAAGGCAAACACCGTGGCACAATCTTCTAAAAAGCTGATGATAAGTCTATCTTCCTAGTCAATTCACCATATTAGTGCCGTTTTTCCCAGCCAACAATGTCCCCTCTGATTCCATCGCTCATAATTGGAGACACCCGAGGGCATCTACGCCCTTGTAATATCGTTTGCCATTTCTTTCCATAGCTTTCTAGATAGAAGACACAGATCGGGATAAGCGCATTACGCTTTAAGATCTTCCCCTCCATGCCACAAATTTCTGTTTGTTGTATTTCACGAATCTTTTTCTCCCAAGCGAAACAATACTGTGTGTATACTGGATGCTTCTTAAATAACTTCCGTATAGCCCCATTTGAAAGATAAATAATGTCACCGCCTGAGGAAATTGCCTCACGTGCATATAGTACGATTTCTGGGCACTTTATCTTGCAGTGGTCGGTGCCCGTGGATCTAACTTCTGGGAGGGTGACTGTGAAGTTCTTTTGATTATACACATATTTACCCCTGAGTGACTGGAAAAATAGGTCATGGTGGTACTGTAGGTCACCCTCTAGATCATTTGTCACTAAAAGAATATGATTGCGGCGGGAAGATTTGCACCCTGAGGTTCCGATCATTCGCAGTTTTGGCCCTACAAGTGCAGGGCTAGCACCTAGCTCAGCAGCCTTCTCAATCCACTGGTCGTCTTTAAAAATGGCTCTCCAAAGCCTGTTCTCTTGACTGTCGCTGAAAAGAAGAGCATCAGCCATACTCTTAGTGGAGTTTGGATGTAGCCCATTAACGATCGAGCTGAATATCTCCCGTGGGATGTGCTTAAGGGAGGGCATTTTATTTCGATATATTTCTATATAGGAATGAGAGCTGTTAATACTCAGAACGCTACTTGGTGGAACTGGGAAGTCAGGGGAAGTGTGCGACCTTTGCAGTATTTATCTAAATAATTAGCCGGTTGTGTTACTATCCCTTGAGAATGAAAAGTGAAAAGCTATAACCACGTCGCATCAAAAACTGTTATTAATTGAAAGGGAAAATAGGTGTGTGAGTTAATTTACACCAATTCCTCGCTGAGTTTGATTGGACCACTAGAAAATGAATCGTGCCCTACAAATGTAGACCTCACAATAAAGCCATAGATATAGTGTTCTCATATACCGGAAAATACGCTATATATGAATATAAAAGCTGACCATAGAGGAATGCAAATAAAGAATTCACGTTTTTTAGGGAGATTCTATGTGCTCTATCTCTTCTTTTAACTCAAAAGAATACCTAAATGAGAGCTAAGTTTGTTTAAATACTATTATTAGGACATAGCACATATTTTGTTTCCTAGGACGTAAACGAGGTAAAGGTTTAAAGGCTCGGTCTGTTCTACACAGCGTGGTTATATGATAGCGGGGTATACTAGAAATCTAGTGAATTGACCATAGACCTGAAGCACTTCTAGTATGAGAACTATCATAATAGGAAAATGAGAAACACCTTCCCTTTCAAATTAAGTTCAAGCGCGTCCGGATCTACCCTAGGCTAATAATTGAAACTAGCCCTTTTTAAGTGTCGTTTATCATGTTTAACCCCTATGTTCAGCCTCGCCAGAACATGTTATGAAAGGAAAAAGCTAAGTTCCGTGTTACCGTAGTAACACTATAGACTAGACTACATCATCTGGAGGCAGTAACAATTTCCTTTGAAAAAATGAAAAGATAAAAAAGAAAAAAAAAGCCCGTTGGTTAAGGCGCTGCTTTTGCTCTTGTGTTCAACGGTGTGGTTCTTTATGCATTTCATTACTAAAGCTTGCAACCGGCTCAAAGACATCTTTCCTTGACTTTGCTATGGCGGTGTAGACACAAATCCCGAACAAGTCTTTGAATTTGCGACAATATTGATATGCCATCTTGCTTTTTTGATTTCCATAGACTAAGCAAGTTCTTTACGCTCCCAAATAGAAGATTTGTCGTCCATGGAGCCCTGGATTGGAGTACAAATTTCCCTACCACCAGGCGTACAGAGGCTTGTGCGACGATATGTAACATCCTAATAGAACTTTGGTTATAATTTTGTTGCAGAAACGACATTAGAGACTTCAGCGTACCGATGATGATTGGGATGGGAAAATTGAATGAATGTATTTTATTCTTCCCCCTTTTCTTCGACGGATGACATGAACTTCGACCCGAAGGAGTCCCGCCTTCTTGGCAATCCAAGTCGAAATGGAGAGCATGCTTAAATTTAAAAATCTCCTTCACACAATAGTGATACCTAAGTATCTTATGGCTGTTGAACGAGAAGCTTTTATATTTATAGAATATCTTTTCGTAAGTTCAACTACCTCGTAGGCTGTATTTAACATAGTGATCATCCAGATACCTATGAGCTTGATGCGAGTATTGTGGCGATAAGATTAGCTATTCAATATGCTAGCTTTCAAAACTGTACTTGGTATTATCCCATGCATTTTCTTGGGTATATCGTCTATATGCCTTATTTTTGTTGGGATAAGCTGCACAGCATCGTCTAGTCCCCAAAGCAATTTATATTTCCTTCAGGTATCAAACAATCTAATGAGAAATGGTTTTTACATTAAGCTAAGCCATCAGCTATAGACAAACACTACTGGTGTATATTCTGAGCTAGAGAAGGTCTTCATGAGCCTTGGGCAAAGAGGCCTGACGGGCTCTATATCCTCCGCGCTAGATACAGCTTCTAATGATGCCGGCGAAGCCTCCGGCTCCACCGAAGTGCTCAATGAGGCTTCAAGTATTGTTAGTAGTGCAAAAAATACTATACAGACAGCCCAATCTTCGGTAAATTCGGCTATGAATGATATCGAAAATATCAAAAATCAGCTACCAGGGTTTTATCGTGTAGGGCTTTGGGGTTACTGTCAGGGCAGCTCAGATACTAACCAAGTGAATAACTGCACATCCCCAAGTATAAACAACTGGTTCAATCTCACAGAGGCGCTGGGTCTCGATGAAGCCATTGTGAATAAAATACTACCTGCCGAGGTGGAACGACTCGAAAAGATTTATCACCAGGCCTCGAGGTTCATGAGCGCTGCATATATTCTTGCATTTATTTTCACAACAACTTCTCTCTTTTTGGGTCTATTTCCGAGCACATTCAGTGGATTAAGTATCTTGAAGGGACTTATCATATGTGTAAGTGGGAATCTCGATTGGTTGAGACCGGTCGCTTATGAAATTTTAGATTGCGATAGTATCAAATCTTGTCGCTTCGGCGATGGCTACGGCAGTATACTGCTGCCTTGCAAAGGCCCTTTCATCAACTTCGTTTCTAGAGGGATCTATAGGGAAATCCGTGTTTGTAAACACCTGGGCTGCTTTCACTTTGACCACGGGAGCTGGAATTATCCAATTAAGCCTTAAGATGTTCATCCACTTCTAATCTTAAACCGTAGATAGTTATCCATAGTTCTTTGTATTTCATTTCATATCTGTACTATCCACTTGGCAAAGTATTAAGTTTCTCGTAATGATATTACACTCATATATCGGCTATATATGATATGTGGGCTGTAATAAACGTAATTCTTGCAAACGTGATAATGTAGCATTGATCATTCCTTGGAACCTATTACCTATTATAAAGGCATATAAAGAGCTAAGTCCAGAAAATCAAACGAATTCAGTCAGTGGTTGTTGATATATCAAGTTATATTCTATCGTATTTACTATGTTATTCTAGCTGCGCAGCTCGCTTACCGGTTACGTTATAGTAAATTTATCGCATTCATTTAATTATTTGATTCTAAGTCCCTACGAAGCACCTCATTAACTGTTTGGCCTTTAGGTCAAGAGTTGTCTCAGGTCAAAAGTTGTCTTAGGTCAAGATTTGTCTCAGGTCAAGAGTTGTCTTGTGACATGAGTAGTCTTAGGTCAAGATTTGTCTCAGGTCAAGAGTTGTCTTGTGACATGAGTTGTCTTAGGTCACGAGTTGTCTTGTGACATGAGTTGTCTTAGGTCACGAGTTGTCTTAGGTCAAGAGTTGTCTTGTGACATGAGTTGTCTTAGGTCAAGATTTGTCTCAGGTCAAGAGTTGTCTTGTGACATGAGTTGTCTTGTGACATGAGTTGTCTTGTGACATGAGTTGTCTTGTGACATGAGTTGTCTTAGGTCAAGATTTGTCTCAGGTCAAGAGTTGTCTTGTGACATGAGTTGTCTTAGGTCAAGAGTTGTTCTTAGGTCAAGAGTTGTCTTAGGTCAATAGTACTTGTGACATGAGTTGTCTCAGCAACGCAGAAACGAATAACCATTTACGACGATGATAGTTTCCTAGGATAAAGGCTAAGTTAAACATGCGATCCTAATTAACTTCTTATGTATTCTATATTTGAGGTAGCCCCACTTTCGGGTGTCCCGGTGGGATGAGGAGTAAAACATTTTGGGTGACGATAGCCCGACAGCAGTTTCGCGCTGTTATAGCTCGCCCACTCCCATTACAAACAACATATCCGCTTTTTTGAAAATTTTCCACAAGCTGCTGGAGTTGCCCAGCTCTGGTAGAGTCCCACGAATATGGTTCGAGCTCAAGCCATTCACCATGATAAAGCTTTAGCGTTCTAAGAAGGATTAATTTGCCTGGTAATGTCGTCCCTCGCAAAGGGTTATCAACAGAAATTGAGTCAGTTTCCCATGAACTCGCTCGCACTACAGGCTTCGCAGAACTGGTGGCCTGTGAAGAATCAGGGGGCCGTTCTGGGAGAAATTCAATTGGATTCACGGAGCTTTGTGTCCGTCTGAAGTGTTTCATAATATCTACTAGTGGCGAAGAAATAAAGCCCTTATTTGCATCACTGACTGTTTCGTTCTGTGTATCTCTGGCCTCTAGCTTTTTCATTGCGAGATTGCGGTTGTTTGTCACCCTGGTGGTGGATATGCTTGACGTGGAAGTAGAGTATCTCCGAATGAGACCTGTGCGGTCGAGATGCCGATCATTTTTCGAATCATGGGCCTCTTCTAAGCTGGTCAATCTCGACGGGCCTTGTTGTGCCTCTTTATGTAGGATTTGCTCCCATAGCCCCTCTGTAGCATTTTGCGAGTCATGATCAAAGCTTTTTGTACTGAGAATATCTGGCTCACGGATGGAATTTGCTGCGTCTTCATTAAGAACCTGTTCCCACAACTCATCTGCTGCACTTCCTACATTATCATCAAAAAATGCCGTTCTAGGTTGGCCGGTTTCATCCCCCACTTCAATATGCTGCAAAGGATCCAGGAGCTGGTGCTGAGTAGTCGGCGATTCGTTCCTTGGAGACTGACTGTATACACTACTTGCAGGGCGCTGGCCACACTGCTCACTTTGTGAACGATAATCGTGATCTTTTGCGCCAGGCTGAATCTCTTCCGAAAGGAAACCAAAGAACGCCACATAGACGCTATGTCGCACAAGGAGGCTTGTCACGCAACTAGGCGTAGACCAATTTGAATCAATTTGGTCAAGGAAGAGTTGATTTACATAACTTTGAACATTGTCAACAGTTGGGTAGCCACAACGGTGTTGTATCCTTGTGAGCGGCGTCTCGACACTTATCGTTTCCTTGGGAGCTACAGGCGAGGCGGCATTGAAGCAATCCACAATCCTTTCTATGAGAGTTTCGAAATCATTCGTGTTGTAGCTGAATCGATCGACCTTTCGAGCCTTTAATAAAGCATCTTCAGCAATGGCACGGTCTGGCGACTCCTTCAAGATAGAATTTATTTGAGGGGAACGAAAACCCAGCTTGTGAGCTAGCTTTGCCATACTGAAAATGCTGGCTTGGTCTGGTTTTGCCTGTACTGGCTTGACTAAACAATCCGGTTTCTTTGCATCTCTCGGAATATCCTGATAATGTCGCATAGCAAAGAGCCACATTTGACGATAGGCAGTATCAGAAATGATGTTGGAAGATGCACGAAACTGTGTCTCTGATACTTGTATGAGGCCTTTCTGATTATGATATCCGGTCCAAATGAAATCAAAGCTTTGTCTTACGGTGCGGCTGCTATCACGATGAAACAACCGATGTAAACAATCTGCGCAGCTTTCAAGCATCTTGAAATCTTGGAAAAAGGAATGTAATGATGGTATCAGACGATCAAACCTCTGGATCCGTTTCCAGATATGACGTCTGTCCTCTTCCGCAAACTCTGTCAATACTTCTTTTTTTAAACGAGATAATCGGCTTAGTTCACATGAAGGCACAAGAAGCTGAAGCTTTTGCACCGTTCTTTGACTTAATTTCGCTAAAAGCCCTGTGTTTCCGACAAATGAGAGCCAAACACTGTATATGTACTCTAAATAATGGCATATCTCCTAAGACATTTGCTATCAGACTGAGATAACATTATGTAATGTTCATAGGAGGATCATGAACCATACCTCATTACATTTCACTGCCTGGAGGCGGTGAAACATACTGATCCGTAGACCAAATCGGTTTCCAGGGATAGATATAGCCATGTCTAACGCGTTTCGGAGATCATTGGCCGCTAAAAAATATTTAAGTCGAAGTTGACTATTTGCACATAGCCGGGCCTTCCAACGATTCTCGGTGGCGGCATCTCCACAAAAAGCTGCTTGACGAACTTTGTAATAGATATGCCCATCACTAAAAGGCAGTTCATTCGTATACTCCTCTATAAGGGAGCGCTTAAGGTCACTGTTGATATCTACAAGCCTTGCGTTAGCGCAGTCTTTCATTGTTTGCAAAGGTCACTACCATTGAGATAGATATCAACAGCCCACCATCTTTTTTCAGGCGGGAGTACTCTTTTACCGGCCGCAATTCGGTGCTTCCCATGGAGTGCCTGTACATGTGTTGGGAATAGCAGGAAAGGGGGGGTCTTTATTCTTTACCAAAGTGCCTATCTTAATTTTGGCCGCGCATAGGGCATGGTGAAGATCATTCTGGGAGACGATCACGGGAATTCTATGTAATGAGGCCAAGTTGTGACAGCCCTCTTTATTGAAGATATTCACGAGACGTTCAGCATTTGATTCATCAAATTCTCGGTCTTGGCGTTGGTCAAACACAAATTGGTTTAAACCAACCTTCGCCGTTCCCTGGAAGCTTTTTGAGGTTTCGCTGAACCATAGGTTATCCATGTCTTCTGCCATAGTTTATTACCTCGTATTATATTCAGCAATATTAGATAGAGACTAGAGGATCGAAAAGTATGAGATCAGAGGCAATATGTACCTATCTTGAAGGTTTCCTGAACGCTTGTTCAACAATTAGTCATCTAGGTCAACGGATCGTCTGATCCGTGGCTTAAAATGAATACAGAGCCGTGGGAAAACCTTACAGTGCATCATTTACCCGATGTGCTCACTGTCCCGGCCAGGTACGGAGCTTCATCTGTTCCCTTCCAGCCAGGGAAGGCCAATACCACAAGATAGTCAAATCACGAAGAAGAGGAAATGTGATTCAAAAGAAGATAAATGTCACAGCCCTCGTCCACGACCCCGTCAAGAAAGAGCGGAGCAGGTGGCCTTAGTCAGACCAGAAAAGAAAAGACTTCACGGGCCTATTCGGAATTTAGCTTTGGCAGAGGCAGCCAAAACTAAGACCAGCTTATCAGAAACATTGGTTGTCCGTCATGAGAGCCCATGGGACACCTTTCGCCCCGTGTACAACTACGACTTAGCCGGAGAGTCATATTTAGCGATTTGCCATACCTACCCTTATCGTCTTGCTACTATTAGGGAGACAGCACAAATTGATCAGGTTCTCAATATCCTTCAACAATACCAGCACAGGAATTTACTTTCCGCCTATGAATGTTTTCTCCACGACGACCGATTATTCTATCTACATGAAGATTGCGCAGTTTCCTTGGATAATATCGTCGCTTGTGATGCACAGCTCAGTGATCATGAGATGGGCTGTATCCTTTCTCAGGTATCACTTCTAGGCCGACATAGTGACAAATAAAGAACCTCCATAGGCTAATGTGTGTATACCTGGATAGCTTTTGGATGGGTTAATTTATCTCACTGATCATGAGCTCAACAACCCCACACTTAGTACATCGGAAATTCTAGTCACTGATAATGGAGTGGTCAAAATTGGTAAGTCTAAATTACCTACATCGGGAAATGTACCAATCGCTCTTAGGAGGACTCGACCTTGTTCAACAAAATAGTCTTCCAGATTATAACCAGTGCCTATGGTCTATCACATCGGAATTAATTGGTAGCAAATCAAGCGCATTTGGTTCATTAAGCAGAGACTTTTTGCAGACAATCATTGGGACTCCTTTATCACAGCTTCGGAAGGTGAGATGCGCGATTTTCTACTGAAGACTATGAATTGACAATAAGTAGCATGAAATCTTCGCGGATGCTCAATCCCAGGGCGGCTATCTAGGAGGGCTCATCTCGTTTGCTAAGCGAACCTCTTTTGTGGCTTGTTGTTATATTTGAAATAGATGGGGGCTTCTTGTTGCATTTCCTGCGGCAGCTATCTGCACACATAGCTCAAGTGCTATATAAAATAAGATCATTCAACCAGATTTAAGTATGTCAATAAAATCGAGCTTAAAATGGTCTTCTAAGAAAAGTAGTTGAAGGTTAGGATTGCGTACCGCATACAGTATTTCCGGGAATCGGTGTCACCACCTACACTCTTTGATTGTTTCTCAAACCCTAATGCCAAGACACACTAAGCCATATTTGAGCAAATATTGGAATATAAATTCTCCGGTTTTCACGAACTGGAAGACGCGCGCGGCGCGCGCATCGGCCCTGAAACGATGAAAAGAAGTGAGCGGTAAGATAGTAGAGCGTAAATAGAGAATTGAATTTGTGAATCGTAAGATAACATGCATATTGAATAAGGTAAACCAATGAGGGAGACACTAGCATGACTAATACCCGGATCATGGAAAAGGAGGATTGAACTTGTTATGTAAAGACTTCAACTGTTGTATTTTGATTGAGCAATAGTTTAGGATGTTTTTCGTGGTCTTTGGGAACGTCTCCCTAGCGTAGGAGTATAGGGTAGTGGTGAGGATTGAGTACTGTAGCGTTTTTCTTCTTTGGAGATTATTCTTAGGTATATAGTAAGAAAGCTGCCATATATGTTTGCGAGCATTTAATAAGATACTCACTTAGCCGTGTAGCCTCTACTTCATGATCTCTAGAGTTTTAAAAGAAAAGAAAAAAGAGTAAAAATGTGAAACTGGTTTCTAGCGCGCCTATAACCATTGAACCTATATCTCCAACAGTCCATTCACATTTCTGATCCCAGGCCTAGATTATTCCATAGTCTATGACACGTGAACTTTGGAGTATTATGGCATACCGAACTTCCGTTTATGGCATAGTAGCTTAGCAAGAAGTTAGTGCAAGACGAGTCATTATGAGATAACTGATCTTCATCGGAATCCCATGTCACTAAATCGTTTGCCACCGAGAGATCTAGCTGCTCAGTCCTTTCAAGGCTCCGATTAAGTCGGAAACTTTGTGAGACGAAATAGTTTGATATATTACGTCCCATGACAGAATTTGAGAACTCAGTATAAGCAAAGTCTCCCTGACAGTTTAGAGCTTCCCAAGCATCAAGTTTAAGTGGAGATAAGAGCTTCTATTGCTAGTCAGAAAATGGAAGCAAAAGAAATCTGACAAGGCATACCGTGATAGATGTTCGGGGCTGGATAGTGTAAGGTGTAGTAGTGGCTATAACGCCTAGGGCAAATGCTAGTACTATCATCAAACTATTCATCTTCGTTGCGAAATTACATAAATTGTCTATTTCTAAAGACTTTACTATACTATACTATATTTAGCGTAAATACGTTTTGAGAATTATATACTATAATGGGATTAGAGGCCACGTTTGCTTTTATAATTCATCGATGAAACCTTCTGCCCCTAGTGTTTACAGTAGGTAACGGAATCAGCTTCCTCCCTACAGCCTGCTTTTCTTTTCTCGGGACCCACTGCCAAAGCCTTAGCGCAGATCTTCCATTGATCGGGCCACACCAAGCTGAGGGCCGCTGTAAAATACGCCGTGTGTGGTACTGTACATTCTTCCGTAACATTGCACTAGATGCTGTGAACGTTGGCGGTAAACGTTGATGGATACGGTACTAGAAAAGGAGCATTTTACGGCGGCCCTCACTTGGCGCTGTCCAGTCAATACACGATCTACGCTAAGGCCTTGGCAGTGGGTCGGGAAAAGAAAATTAGTCTCTAGGGAGGAAGCTGATTCCGCTAATGACTGTATCATCGGATGCGTCTGGCCCAATTATCTGGGTTTCCTCGTCGTCGTCATTTAGAGAATCAGTTTCAGTGGGTGTGTGCGATAGTTGGATGGTTGAGGTCGAATCTCCTTCTCACGCAGACTTGAACGGAGACCGAGCGTTAGCCCTTTGGGACCAGCGGTCCTGGCGTTTTCGTTTACCAGTTGTTGAAGATGGGGTTGGGGGCAGAGACTGCGATATGGTTGGAAGGAAATGTATATCGTCCGTAATCACAGCTAGTTGGCGATTCTCTTTAGTGACGCCAAAAATACGCCCAGTTAGAAAATTGCTAGCGTTGATGCTTAGTGGTGGAAAGTTTGCCCAGCGTTGTCCATTCTTGAAATATGCGGTCAGAAGGAATGTGTGATGGGCTCGGGACGAACTGTTGTAAACGGTAGATTGGAAACGATAGTGTAATAGGGTTGGGCCATCGTTTAGCTGACCCCCGCGTTCAATAACAGTTCCAAGAACGGTGACGATAGGCTGAGCCGCTTCGGGGCAGTGCATGAAATATGAATCTGTGTCTTCTTGATCACCGGGGTTTCTAGATCATGTCATGCCTGTTCTTGGGGGGAATGGAAGTTACTAACCGGTCAACGCTACTAGCATGAAGAAGAATGTGGAAGTCCTCACAAGTAAAGAGTTGCCCGCGATAATGTAATCCTAGTCGGGTTCCGTCATGTCCGAGATAGGCCTAGAGGAGTAAGCGAGAGCTTAATTAATTCGTCATGCCAACCCACACTATTTTGTTCGTAGTAACTTGAGCCATGTAGAGGCTATGGTTGTATGAACTAGTTGCTAATTTAACCGCGGGGTCTTTTGCTAGCTCGGCTTTCTATCACTAGTGAGTAATAGCAGGGCTATTAGGAGTGGAGGCTACCCACTCGGAGTTCAAGTTCCAGTTTCTCTTTCTGCTTGTCTATAACAAATTTATCGAGCTCAGTGGGTTAGAGAGCTGACTTGAGGTAGATAGCAAAAACATGTTACTCTTCCGAGTCCTTCAGAGGATTGTCCTGTATATTTGATCAGTATTAAAACTAACTCGTAAGCGGTGACATTAACTAAGTCCGGAACTTTTTACCTTCTTGCCTTTATCTTCTTCCTGACCATTCTTTTTGTTGTCCTTTTTCTTAGGATCGACTTTATCTTTCTTTTCTCCACGATCAAGGGACTATATATAACTGCGCTGCCTTATGTCCGAATTCATATACTGACTAATATTATAAGCTCCGTGGTTGGCTCACTTAAAGTAGAATCGATGTTAGCAAGATGAATATGTAGTATAGTCCTATTAGGATTATATTGGTGCCATAAGGGGTAACTCTTTAAGGAACAAGAACGACATTTTCGATTGGTTTCCAAAGTTAAATTATAGGTCAGAGCGTCTTAGGGAATGTCTTCTATCGCCACGGTGTTATCAGTAGCAGCACCTGCTAACTCATTCCTGAAATTATGCATCTTGGAAATCCTTTGTCTTTGCTTTTCTTTCAAGATTCCATTCGCCGGGTCATATGGAGTAGAATTCATCCACGCGGACCACTTTTTGACTGTGGCAATCGCCTCTGCTGCAGAAATTCGAAACCATTCCCGATGCTCACATAGACAACCTGTACAATCAAAATAGACTTGGCAATCAACCAATTCTGCGTGGCACAATTGCTCAACACGCTTGGCATTTGGAACCATTTTTGAAGATTCAGCAGGCGTGGGGAATAGTACATTGAATTGCCTATTGCAGCCAAAAGTCAACTTCTGGAGGCGCTGAATCACCGGAGAGCTCGTATATCCTATTTTCAAATACCCTTGAAAATTCTCTGATTCAAAAACATAGACATATCCTGGTATTTGATGAGAATGGCTCAAAGTTTGGTCGATTTTGTTTTGGATGTAATCGTTGAGAGTTGTCGTCTGGCGTCTACTCTTCCTCGATATAATATGGAATGGAGCAGTGTCAAACTTTTCCGGCCAAGACAATGCCCGATTTCCCTTAACGTCTAATGAGGGCGAAACCATTACATTTGACACTCGCTGATTCTTCGTGTCTAGAGGGCCGGCTTTGCATCCGATACCATTTGGTAATTCACAATGGGCAGACATTAAGTCAGCCTTTGTGCGAATCTCTAGAATTCTTGACTTCCAAGTTTTCTGTTTTTGAAGCGGCTTTGTAAGCTCATGGTCTGAGCAATAGATGTTTTTTTCCAGGATAGAGAGGCAATAGTCGATCTGTGAATCGCTTTGGTATAACCTGAGCCTCATGATCTCATTAATCGTTCTCTGAAAGTTTTGAACCTTTCGACCCCCAACATCCTTTCCACATAGCCTTGAATCCATTATGGCTGCATGACATCTGGTCGAAGCGGATCCGAATACTTCTATCATTTGCTCTTCGAGATATTGTATATCACTTTTGCGCACAGGAAAGGCAGCCATCCAATTGTCTTTTCTGATATCATGAAGATCCTCCCGTCGGTGGGATGTACAATGCGCAAGTTGAGCAAGCCTGTCCACTTTGGGTCTCAATTCTGGGGATTCCTGGCTAAGACAAACCATAGACGTAATCAAGGATTCGATCTGGTCTCTTTTCTTTGATAGTATTCCTTGAAGGCAAGGAGTCCCTTCCGTCGTGCATCGCCCGCACTTCCAACTCCTGAGCCCGAGCCGATTTCTCAAAGTACGATAAGTGAAATCGGGTTCGTGCTTTGGTGACTGCCGCTCCTGATCATCCGCATTGAGTGCAACCTCGTGAGTGTTGCTTGAGACGGGGCGGTGCACTAAAGCAAATCTCTCCGATGTACTGTACTTGCTTCCTGTGGAACTAAAGCAGGTTGAAGACATCCTAATTCTTTATTAACTTTGCTCGTCGGAGCAGCCAACTTTTTTATTCTATGGGCACCTACCTAGCCAAAAAGGGTGTCGCTCCTACCAAGTTTTACAGGGTTGCTCATCGACAGACACATAGTCAGAAAATGCAGTATGTACACCACCGGTCGATGAATTTAAGGTAAGCCGAGCTTCCAAGAATATTGATGCCTTAATAGCTGCCTAAAATGAGGCAACGAATCAAAAAAGTGGTCACGCGTCACAGCCTATTGCCTGTAAGGGATAGGAGATGCCTATTGGTCTCTCGACTCAAGCCACATCACGTGTCTAATTTGATTAAACATGTATTAAAGAGTTGCAATGACTTCCTTTACTCGTTTCAGGGCCGATGTGCGCGACGCGCACGTCTTCCAGTACAATAGGGAGATCATAGACTATTCCAGGAATAGTTTAGTCTTTCTTGGCATTAGGGTTCGAGAAACAACGAAAGAGTGTAGGTAGTGACACCGTTTCCCGGAACTACTGTATTGTTATCAATATCTCGAAAGTCCGAAAAGCTTATAGGAGACAGGTTTAATCCTAGATCCTGACTTTATACGGGCTCAGGAGATACACATAGCAATACATGTCTCCTTCCAAGACACGCGCCTGCAGGTTACGGTGGTTGAATTTGTACCCTTTGCATAATTGGCTTGGATAATTCAAGAAAATGCAAAGCTAAGGAGTCTGCACTGAAGGAGTGTCGAATCTTCAACACCACAATGTTATCAAGGTCTGAGAACTACACAGACAAACCATGGATAATCCTAGTCTATGGATACTGCACCAAAGGAATGCGGCCAGTTCCATGACACATCACCCCAGGATAGATGAATTACTTCTAGCCTATGGATATCTCCACTGATCAGTGTCATCACTTTGCTTTTTTTTTTCATAATTAACCAGTCCTTTTTCTTTTAAATCTGCCTAGTGGGAATGTTTGAAGTGAGTAGATGAATATGAAAGTGAATGCCTTTGATTTATCTGACCACTGGTCGTTAAATATCAGCTTCTCGATAAGCCGAGCATCATGAAATTAAGTGGGTGACCTTTATACTCTTGGGCAGGGTGCTCAGGGCAGATATTCACCAATATCATACAGGTCAGACTCATGTATATATTCAATAATTATGATGGGTACAGCAGTACTCGAATCAAATTTACCTTTACTCTCTTGGGCTTTCATTCCCGAACCCTAGCGTGAGATATGCTAATTTACATACGCCTTTAACTGCGGATACAGAGACAATCATCCGAAATCGAACGTTGTACTCTTTTCTCCGAACAGAATTTTGATACCTGAAGAATTGAAAACTTAGAGGTAGGAGGGAGGCAGGGAGGGAGGTTAAAAGGCCACTTTGTGAACAATATTATCTTCCTTTACGCTTTTGAGTAAATCCAAGAGTCTTCTATGTTCTGACCCGCTATGACACGGCCTGGGCTCCGGTTATTTAGGGTCAGGTGGGTCCTAGCACCTTACGGGGATGGATGCTTCTCGACTAAGATAGGGACACGTCAGCGTGGCGAAGTCTTCTAATCCTAGGACGCAAAGATTTAGGGTATAAGTAAGCAGTTTCCTCTTAATTTTTCAAAGATTTTCAAGTCCTAGGTTTGGAATTCCTCTTCCTCTTCGCGGTTCGAATACATACATCAACTTGCCAACTTATGTTCACTGCCATATATCCACAAAAAAGATATTCATCTGATAGTCATTGACAAAGATCCTGTATCCACTTTTGTTTGTCTCATTTTATCGCAACTGAAATCATGTCGACAGGAGTTCCCGCCATAGTCCGACGCCGTGCGATGAAACAAAGGCGCTCTCCCCCGCAATATTCTCCTCTTGCTATCCTCTCTTACGGAGCTGAAGCTGATGATAATGCGTTATGTCCATATTTCCACTCTCCTGGCCTTATTGAGAGTCAACAAGGGGTTCTGGGGGCTCCGAGACTTCCTACAACCGCAATTAATCACCGTCTCTCGAGCGCTCTCTAGCCTAGTGGTGCCTGAACCGTCAATACATATATTTGAGCAAGGGGGGCCAAATAATATCAAAGACCGTGGAAACGGTCAGTGTTTGGCTTTCAAATCTGGGTTTTGGACTGACGCAGAATATCACGCTAAGCCTACCATGTCTGTTACAATATGGCCTAGGCAACAGAGCCAGCCAGACTTCCTCAGTGTACCGGAACTTGAACAACCAATGATCTTTGGAAGAGGAAGGCTATGTCTTGGATACGAGAAAGGCGAACCTGGGTCTCCGAATCTGGTTGTCCGTCATATCTCAGATTGGAAGCTGGTAGGAAAAAGGTCTCTATTCCGGGGACAGCCGTACCTCGTCGACCATAACAGTGACCTGGTTATTCTTCACACCGACCACGGGGAGATTTACTTTTGGAATCCTTTCCTTATAGAGCCCTGGAAGCTAGAATACCGGCGCGCCACTATTTTTGAGCGACCAATTATCGTACCAAATCAACGCGGCTTCATTACTACGTTGCGCAAAACAAAAGAGGACATCTTCTAAGATGTCGTCGTCCTCTTTTGTCAATCTATCTTCTGGCAGGATGCTGAAACGTGCCCACGCATGAACCTTACCTCCTATTGTGTTCCATTATTCTCTTATTTCCCTGAAATGAAGTACCACAGCTATGAAGCTGTACGTTCCTTCGCCACTATTCGGGATATCAGCAGGAGCGGCATTTTATTCGAGTCATCGCTGATCGGAAGCGTCGCCATGACATATACTGGCAACGAACTCGGAGCAACACTACCCAACAAAGAGAAGATTATTGGAGAGTTTTCGGACGGCACTCGCGTCATCTATCGAAGAGATAATGAACATAGCCTTTCCTCCCTGCAAGCGATCAAGAACGATAAGATTCGCTTCAACTTAAACCACTATGGTGACCACCATGGCATTCTTCTTTTTCTGGATACCTATCTTATCGTTGTGGATCAGCGTTTCAAATCCCATATCCCACCTCGTCAACTAAGAATATTCACGAGAGCTGGCCATTTGATTTATAAACTACGTCTTGGCTCTGGATATTACACAACTTACCCACGCATTTTTGAGGAAGGTCATAGTCTTGTGTTATACGCAACGGACTTGTCGGAAGCAACAGTTTGGAATTTTGAGGACAATTTGCAAGTTTCATCGATTACAAGACGTGCACCAAAAAGAAAAGCAAAAGAGAATCCAGAAGCACGCTACAACCTTAGGAGGAAGGTTCCCAAACTATGTTAAGTATGGGGAAAGGTGCGGAGGATATTTTGATGACAGGCTGCCTTAGGCCTCTATGTTAATAGGGTTGGCATTTAATCACCTGAAATTGTCCTTTATCTTTAGAACTACCTATATGTTCTATAGCAGTACTTGAAGGTTCAAATGAATCCGGTTGGTCAGTAATGAATATAATATATAACGAATAGAGCTATTGTATCTTATATATAATTAAATCTGGCCTCTATGCGTCAGCACTTTTGCAAGTACTACCAGAAACCGCCGACAGATTTATGTGATTCACTTCAAATCGGTATCGGTGAGCACTTCCAAAGTAGTTTGGTTACTGATGTTGCCTATGCTGCATCAATCGCGTCTAAAATAATTTCTGCAACATCTACATCCTTCCATGAAGCCGCAACAACCTCGAATATCCATGGCTTTGCTTCCTTCATAGCCTTCAGACAGAAGATTTCCTCCTCAGCCATATTTTCCGCAGGATCAATATCTGTAAAAATCTTCCATCGCCGCCGAATCAACAGACGTCGGTATTGGGTAATAACCCTGCCCTTGCTAACAATCTTCTTCTGATTGAAGGATCCCTGTAAAATAGCTTCAGGCGAATAAGCGTTTCGTGCTGAAACTTTGATCTCTCTTTGTTTTTTTAATTCTTGAAAAAGTCTTAGCGGATTGTTCTTTTCTATCACAATAAAAGAGATGAAAGGTCGTTGCCAAGCGTCATGAAGTTTGCCTCTGTCACCTCTCGTGCGTTCACGTAAATACGGTTGACTGCCCCACGTGAAAATTTGCCGTTCATGTAGCTTTAACAAAGAAGGGATTAAGCCATGTGTCTCGTCCTCTATGGAACCATAATGGTAAGGAGACGATGGGATTTCACCCCGGAGAAACTTTTTATTCAATTTGAGTAGATCATCAAAATCAACACACTCATTCCAAACTTGGTGGTCTTGCGGGAGTTCGGCCATATTACATATGATGTTTAGTAAAAAGGGTAATTGGTATTCATATAGTAATGAGAAGGCAATGATGATCTAAAATACTTTTAACTTTTTTAGGAAAGTAATTAGGGATAACGCAAACAAAAGGACATACTCTAAAAAAGGGGTAGGTTATTTTAGGTAAACGATTATCGGAGTAAGATGAAAGATCCCGTTGATTACTGGATATTAGATGGTGAACGTTAGTAGCCTCGGTGGACCTCAATTTAGCGCAGTCTAGGCAATGAAGGCTCTACACTAAAGCCTTGATGAAGGATACCGAGAAAGCAAAGTCGCTGGGGAGAAAGTATAGTGGTTTTCATTTTCGAGATCACCTAGATTAATGTAGATTAAACCGCCCTTCTCTAATACTCTTTTTATAATTTGAATGAAATATGCAAATTCATAAGTATGAGGGCGTTTATTAATTGACACGTCCCCTTATTTAAAATCAACGTGAAACGCACTATAGCTTTGATAAGGGTAAAAGGTATATTATATAACGACCCCTGCCCATTATAGAACAGCCTCATCAATATATTATCTACTCCTTGAATAGTAGGGCTAGAAGCATCACATTGAGATATGAATATCGAGCCTAAGGAGAGCTTATAAGAATACGTATAAGTAAAGGTCATTTGGCTTTGAATAACAAGACATTAAAGAGACAAAAAATCACATATTTGCTTTTCTACATAGCTTGTCCAATGGGGCTCTTTAATATTCGAATGCGTAAGTACCTTTCTGAAATGTAATCAGACGAGCTAACTAATCGTCAATCCTTCTAGCCTGGAAGGCCAAGGTTGATAAAAGATATCCAAAAAAGGTCTTCACTTTGAAAGTATCACCTGGCTGTCCGCAGTGGCTGGGGGATACAACCTACTTTGATAATAATTGGAAATTGAAGCCTGGATGTACTGTTGAAAAAGGGCCGAATTGGGATGGCAATCGGGGATATATATTTAGAAACCACCGTTTAATGAGATATGCTGATGAGCATGAACTGGCGATAGAAAGGGGGCGACGATTTATCAAAGATAAAAAATCGTCTGGGGCTATTCCTACATATATAGAAACCCTCCCACAAGATGGTTACGGGCCCCTATATTAATCGTCTCAGGATAATTATGTCAATATTTTCAACCCCTAGCGGTAATGGAAATAAACCATAACTCAATGTGATTTTCTCGCGCATTGGTTTTTCTATTAGCTCGCTTTGGAACTTGGTCTTCTTTTACTTATCAGGAAATACTAAATGTGTATTGTTTGACTATTATAATAATGTCGTCGTGGAATTAAGAGCGCCACTAACGGAATTTTAGAGCTTCAAGCATAAGGAAATCCTTGAGAGCGACCCTTTGTACAGGGCCGCTCGAAATCAGCTTCACCTTTGTTTTCTTTTCTTTTCTTTTCTGAACTTTATTCTGAGACACGCTAGTCCCTCTTGGACGTAGTCCAGTTTTGAATCTTGAAATGTTTTGTAAGGATAAATTATACACATGCGGGGCTGTAACTTTCCTGAAACATAGATATAATCGTTACGCTGCGGTTAACCATAAGGCCATAAGGTTCGTCACTTTGATTAGAGCTTTGGTCTTCCGCGGCAACTTCGAAGAAGATGGCGCTACGTTCACGTATTGAACTCCTGAATAATGTAAATGGAAAAACACATTATCTATCAAGGTGATTATGAGGAAATATGATCAAGACGGGCGATTTCTGTCTCTAATCAGATCACCTGATAGCGGGGTAGGCTGGGGGCTGGAAGATCCAAACGTGAATTTGATCCTCCCCAAAACACTTGCGCAACAGCCATGGCGACTACTATTTCCCATGGCGAAAGAAATTCTGGTTTTCAGGCAGGGGTGATAAACGGCAACATCGGAAATGTCACGATTGGTAAGCGAAAAGTGTAACTCTCATCGGTGGGTATAGAATTGTCAACGGCTTTAGTACAATCCGAAACACTGGACCAAGCATGCCTTCGCGACTTGCGTGCGACCAACCCCGTCGATGATAAAGAACGGATCAAGAATACCAAGGGTGGGCTACTCAAAGACTCATATCGCTGGGTTCTTGATAACGAAGAATTCAGACATTGGCAAGACAGTGAGAAAAACCGCCTTCTCTGGATCAGGGGTGATCCTGGGAAAGGAAAGACGATGCTCCTATGTGGTGTCATCGAAGAGTTGACGAGGTTATATGGGGATAATGCGAGTATCTCGTTCTTTTTCTGTCAAGCTACCGATATGCGGATCAATAGCGCTACGTCTGTCCTGAGGGGGTTGATATATTTACTTGTCAAGAATCATCCATCTCTTCTCCACCATGTGCGAGCTCGGTACGACTATGCAGGAAAGACTCTCTTTGAGGATGTCAATGCATGGAATGCACTGTCAACAATTTTCAGGGACATTCTAAACGACCCGACACTGCAGATGACTTATTTGGTAATTGATGCCTTAGATGAGTGCACTAATGGGCTCCGTTTCCTTCTAGACTTGATTGTCCAGGAATCATCAGTCAATCCACAGATAAAGTGGGTTGTTTCTAGCCGCAACTGGCCTGAAATCGCTGAGCGACTTGACATTGCTACCCAGCTAGCTCCGATCTCATTAGAGCTGAACGAGGCATCTGTGTCTGAAGCAGTGAATCAATTTATTCAGCATAAAGTTTATGAATTGGCAAAAGCGAAAAGGTATAGCGATAAAACTCGCGATGGCGTTCATTCCTACCTGTTATCAAATTCGCAAGGTACCTTCCTATGGGTGGCCTTGGTGTGTCAGAATCTTGAAAAGATACGAATAAATGTACTGAAGAAAATAGAGTCGTTTCCTCCTGGGTTGGATGCTCTTTATGGCCGAATGATTGACCGAGTTCGCGAATCTGAAGATGCCGAGCTCTGCAAGGAGATACTGGCAATCATGTCAACAGTTTTTCGGCCTATTACGCTATACGAACTAACTTCATTTATTGAACTACTGGACGACGACTACGATGATTTTGTTCCCCTTGAAGAGATTATTGCAATCTGTGGGTCGTTTTTAACGGTTCGGGAACAAACTATTGTGTTTGTTCATCAGTCTGCAAAGGAATTTTTACTCAAGGAAGCACTCAGTGAGATACTTCCTAGAGGTATAGAGGCTGAACACGACATGATATTTATACGATCTCTCGACATTATTTTCAAGACACTTCAACGTGATATGTTGAACATCAAATTACCTGGACTCCACACGAAGGATATCTGCAAACCTAACCCAAATCCACTAGCAGCGGTGGAATACTCATGTGTCTACTGGATGGACCATCTTGAAGCTAGCCTGGTTAATGGAGCTTGTGAGCTGGGAGTTTATCGCAGAGGTCGCGTGGATACATTTCTGCATCAGAAATTCCTCCACTGGCTCGAAGCTCTTAGTATTTTGGGAAGTGTTTCTGATGGCATCCAAGTCATGCAAAAGCTCGAGATTTTGATTGAGGTGAGTGGTTGAAATTGAATAGAGATGATCCTCTTTTCTGACAAGGGGCGCACTTAAACAGAAGAGAAAAGAGTCAGGAATGCTGTTGAATCGAGCTCGAGACGCCTCTAGGTTTATTCAATATCATAGAACAGCAATTGAAAGCAGCCCTCTGCAAGTATATTGCTCACCTCTTATATTTAGCCCACTAAAGAGTCTCGCAAGGATGTCTTTTCAGGATGGGAGACCAGACTGGGTCTTAAATTATCCTGTGGTAGAGGAAAACTGGAGTCCCTGTCTTCAAACTCTTGAGGGGCATAGGGATTTGGTCACGTCGGTTGCCTGGTCGCCAGATGGAAGCCGGCTCGTATCAGCGTCTGGTGATGAGACAGTCAGGATCTGGGATCCGGCTACCGGCTAGAGCATATCAACCCTTGAGGGGCATAGTGATGGGGTCACGTCGATTGCCTGGTCGCCAGATGGAAGCCGACTCGCATCAGCGTCAGATGATGAGATAGTCAGGATCTGGGACCCGGCTACTGGTTAGAGCATATTAATCCTTGTTGGACATAGCCATAGGGTTATGTCGATTGCCTGGTCGCCAGATGGAAGCCGACTCGCATCAGCGTCTGGTGATGAGACAGTCAGGATCTGGGATCCAGCTACTGGCCAGACTATATCAACCCTTAAGGGGCATGGTAGTTGCGTTAGGTCGATTGCCTGGTTGCTAGATGGAAGCCGACTCGCATCAGGATCTAATGATAAGATAGTTAGGATCTAGGATCCGGCTACCGTCTAGAGCATATCAACCCTTAAGGGGCATAGTGATGGGGTCATGTCGATTGCCTGGTCGCCAGATAGAAGCCGACTCGCATTAGCGTCTTATGATGAGACAGTCAGGATCTGGGATCCGGCTACCGGCCAGAGTATATCAACCCTTGAGGGGCATAGTAATTGGGTCACGTCGGTTGCCTGGTCGCCAGATGGAAGCCAACTCGCATCAGCGTCTCGTGATAAGACAGTTATGATCTAGGATCTAGCTACCGGCCAGACTATATTAACCCTTAAGGGGCATGGTAGTTGGGTCTGGTCGATTGCCTGGTCGCCAGATGGAAGCCGGCTCGTATCAGCGTCTGGTGATGAGATAGTCAGGATCTGGGATCCGGCTACCGGCTAGAGTATATCAACCCTTGAGGGGCATAGTGGTTCGGTCTGGTCGATTGCCTGGTCGCTAGATAGAAGCCGACTCGCATCAGCGCCTTATGATGAGATAGTTAGGATCTGGGATCCGGCTACCGGCTAGAGTATATCAACCCTTGAGGGGCATAGTGATGGGGTCAACTCGATTGCCTGGTCGCTAGATGGAAACCGACTCGCATCAGCGTCTTATGATAAGGCAGTTAGGATCTGGGACCCGGCTACCGGCTAGAGTATATTAACCCTTGAGGGGCATAGTGATAGGGTCACGTTGATTGCCTGGTCGCTAGATGGAAGCCGACTCGCATCAGCGTCTGATGATGAGATAGTTAGGATCTGGGATCCGACTACTGGCCGGAGTATATTAACCCTTGAGGGGCATAGTGATGGGGTCAACTCGATTGCCTGGTCGCCAGATGGAAGCCGACTCGCATCAGCGTCTGATGATGAGATAGTCAGGATCTGGGATCCGACTACTGGCCGGAGTATATTAACCCTTGAGGGGCATAGGGATGGGGTCAACTCGATTGCCTGGTCGCTAGATGGAAGCCGACTCGCATCAGCGTCTGATGATGAGATAGTCAGGATCTGGGATCCGACTACTGGCCGGAGTATATCAACCCTTGAGGGGCATAGTGATGGGGTCAACTCGATTGCCTGGTCGCTAGATGGGAACCGACTCGCATCAGCGTCTTATGATAAGACAGTCAGGATCTGGGATCCGGCTACCGGCCAGAGTATATCAACCCTTGAGGGGCATAGTGATTCGGTCTGGTCGATTGCCTGGTCGCCAGATAGAAGCCGACTCGCATCAGCGTCAGATGATGAGACAGTCAGGATCTAGGATCCGGCTACCGGCCAGAGCGTGTCAAATCTTCCTATTGGCTTCAGCAGATCCCTTCAATTCGACAACGATGATATCAATCTTCTACACACAAATAACGGCACATATGACATAGGTTCAAAAGGTCCGGTGACGCCTGTGTCTGACGACTTTATCTCGCCGCCTAAGCAGTATGGATACGGATTAAGCCAGGAACGTTCCTGGATAACCTATAATGGACTCAAGCTGTTATGGTTGCCTTCAGAATATCGCCCAAATTCTCCCGATAATTTCGCTAGATATAGAACCAGGTTAGCGATCAGCTGCTCATCAGGTCATGTCATTTTCCTCATGCTCTCAAAACAAAATCCCGTTTCTACCCTTTGATCTGTGTTTAGGCAACCACAAATCTATGTCTACATATGTAAAACGTGACCACATTATGCTTCTTCCAGGCTCACCCAAACCTCCTTAATGATTACCACCGACGTTGCGCGATCAAGCTTTGTGTTTGAAGCTCACTTCTTTTTCTACCAATTAAATCAGTTTCCCCTTGAATGTCCAGTTCCTCGACGATTGGAATAATGCTTCAAGTGCAATGTCTATTTATGAGGTGAACGTACCGGTCTGCTTCCTGTTAGCACTAATCAACACCCGCAGCTTTCGGATCGCCAAGACAAAATAGCTTCCCAGCCGCAGTGCCCCTCAGTCACGTGCATTTCCCAATACCCCAGCTCCCCCCCGGTGTTCAATCAAAAATCATTTCGTCCGCTCCCTAATCAGAGGGGTGAGCAGGGTGAGCAGGGTGAGCTTGGAGAAAACCGTTCTCCACCGTTGTGCCAACGACACAATGGTTAGCCCCTAGCGATCCCACGCAAATGGCACCTCGACTCCCTCCTTCCAAACTGGAGATGATTCGTGACATGATATATAACGGGTCCTTGAATACATCACAAATGGCCGCGGCTGCGGAGTGTAGCCAGCGTTCGATAATCAGTATTCGCAACAATCTTCGCTTGTTCGGGAATGTCAGAGCTCCATCAACTCGCGTCGGTCGGCGACGAAGCATCACACCGCCAATGATACAGACTCTCTGTGACCATCTTCTCGAGAAGCCCGAATTATATGTGGATGAAATGATTCTCTTTCTATGGGATGAGTTTCATACTCGGGTGACAAGCTCGAGTCTCAAGCTGGCTCTTGCTTCGGTCGGCTGGTCGAAGAAGGTGGCTCGACAGAGAGCAAAGGAACAGAATGCTGATTTGCGCGATTTCTATCTCCACAATATATCGGACTTCAAGTCATACCATCTAGTCTATGTGGATGAGTCGGGTTGTGATAAAAGAATTGGTTGCAGACGCACTGGGTGGTGTCCGCTAGGCCAGACGCCATTAGAGATCTCTAAATTTCATCGTGACCAGCGATACCAGATCTTACCTGCGTACGCACAAGATGGCGTTGTGCTTTCTCGTGTATTTCAAGGCTCAACTGATTCGGCCGTGTTCGAAGATTTCATCGAGCAGCTCCTTCAGCACTGTGGAAGGTGGCCGGAACCGAAATCCGTGATCATCATGGACAATGCATCCTTCCACCATTCTGACCAGATCAAAAAGATGTGTGCCGATGCTGGAGTAAAGCTGATGTATTTGCCGCCTTATTCGCCTGATTCAAATCCCATCGAGGAGTTTTTCTCGGAGCTGAAGGCGTTCATCAGGCGTCACTGGCGAAAGTATGAGCAGAGCCCGGAGCAAGGGTTCGATAATTTCCTTGAGGGATGTCTCGAGGCTGTAGGATTTCGGGAACAAAGTGCAATCGGCCATTTCCGGCATGCTGGCGTAGTCGTCGAAGACTAGCCTGGAGCCACAGTATCCAGAGCATAGTATTGATCTAGTTGGACATAATACTTCGTTTTTAAGATAATAGATGAGCATTGTGTGAGGCATTCTGTGCTTATAATAGCGTGTGAATTATATATATCAAGCCAACTAATAGTGATGGAACTGAATTATGAATCTAAATCTATGCAAAGCTGCCACTTATTCCAACGGTGGGTCTTCCTATTGATTTCTTATCTCCCCACCCACTTAATGATATCACCGACAAAGCGGCGTGCAATACCTACCGCAATTCCTTCTTGAACAAAAGATCCCGGATTTTGATCCTCGTGAATCTGCTCAAGGTCCAGACCGTTGGCGAGCGTGACATCACAAGCCAGCTGGAATTGAGCCCTCAAATTTTCGTCGAATGACATTTGTTTCTTGCCAGGCGCTGTATTCCTTCACAGCCACATCCCGTGGGCCATCAATTGTGAGAAGAATGAATCTATGCTGTTTCTGGTGGGAAGACATTTCGGATTGTGGGATACAATCAACTGCTGCTGGTTGTATAGCAGATTGTCCTCCCATGAAATTGATGTTGATAGGTGGGCAGTTTCCCGGGGTGAGCGATTTGTTGTTCTTGGACTGTGAATGCTCCACCTTCTGCTGCTCTTCCATATATAATTCTTCCCGAATAGCATCGGGAACATCATCTTGGCACTCTAAAACACCCCTAGCGTCGACATACGCAATCAGGCGTTTTAAATGATGCGTTCTCAATTGGTAGTGTTTCTTTCCATGAGGATCCTGCTAGCAATGCGGCCCAAGATGACAGGATAGTGAAGGACAACGCATTAAGCTATAGACAGCCCGCCAGATGGACTGCTGTCTAGATATATGCTCTTCAGCATCAAGTTGTGCATCACGCTCGCTAAGCATTCTCTTCGTCATAGATGACTTCCCTCGTTTTTCACTCCTACCTGCTGCACTCCTGGAAAGGTTATCGTCCTCTGTATAGTTGAAGGTAATAATTACCCTCGGTTCCTTGCCTCGAGTGTGAAGTTTACCCTAAGTAATTAGTTGCTCCTCCACTGCAGTCCAATCAATATCAAGGCATTGAAACCAAAATTTTTCGTTCTTGTGTTTGCGATCGTTGACCGACATAACTACAAGCGTGCCATCCGATCTCACCCTTCGGCTACGTGGGATCCGCTCTTGAAGCACGTTCTCCAACTTAGGCCTCAGGACCGAAGGCCAATAGGCACTTGGTGTCAGGGTCACATTCTTTATCGTGTCCTCCCACCTGAACCGGTTGTCTTCACTTTCCACTCGATTGTATACCGAATAAAGATCGGTGGAAACTCATCATCCGGTCTACTTGCTTCCCACTCACCGACTTCAAGAAGTCTTGGGGCTTCTTGCGGGGCCCAGATTGAGGCAATGGGACTGCCCTGGGGTAGCGATCCGGGGAAGGGCTGAACTTAAAATGCGAGTGTAGTGTCTCGTTATAGTATCCTGGAGTGGGGGCGTATTGCGAAGCCTGGTCCGAGAGATCGGGGGCATAGGGTTGAGCGTTATCACGGTCACAGAATGAGCCATTAATCATGGTGAACAGTTCCTGTTCAATTCAACGTTAGCACGGTTTGGCTTCCAGGTTCAACAGGCGGTGGGTTCAATGAATAAGGGCTCCAAGTTGATGTAGAGTCGATGATAAACGCATTGTAATGAAGACCCCACCAGTTCCTTTCTTTTTCAATCTGCGTATTTTCGTTCGCTATCCGTTCGGATCTGCCGTGGGGGTTTGGATGAATGTTGGAATGCAAGCTAGAGAGGTGGCCAGACAACGGACTGCATTGTTTGACTTGTTTGCAATGAGTTGGTTCTAGAAACAAAATCGTCCGTACAGCACGTTACGGAATCTATTTTTACTCGTTTATCTACACTTGTATGAGAATACCGCCGCATAGTGGGTCGGGGTAGTCTAGCCCAAACTGGTATAGTGCAATGCAAGATAAGGTTTCGAAAAGTTTTAAAGAGAGTAAACAAGTGAAGCTGATTTCGAGCGGCCCTGTATTTATGCATTAACTCTCTTTCTCACTTATGAGTCTAGTCAAGCTTTATCTAGAAGTGCTACTAATACTTCAGAATCTAGCTTACATGCTTGTATTAAACGATTGACCAATGTAAACATCAATATGTCCCACACGATGTAGGGTAGGGCTTGTTAAATCGATTCTTCTTAGATATTTACCGGTGACTGTCGACTCTTATAGAATAGAGAAGAGTTTAAAGAACGGTTACTTCCGTGACCACGATCGTTGTGAAGGAAAATCAGACGGCGGGGAGAGGCCAAAAGAATATGTGGTCCTATTAAAAACAGTTTTTCAATGCAGGTAAGACGCAAGCTGAATATATGTCATTGGTCACTAAACACCTCTGGACCTAGACAAAACCCACGGCTCCCCAACTCTGGGCTGAAGTTCTTGCGGGGGGATTAGCTTAGTCTTCTCCATTAGGTTGTCCACGGGGTGGAGCCAACTGGGGTTAATCTAGGCCGAAAAGTGTTAATTTATGATGGTTTTCGGGCTTTGATGCGTACCAGATGAAACTTTACAGGTCCTATGAGTATTGTCAAGCTCATACCGAATACGTATAATGTTGTTCTAAGGAGAGAAAAAAGGCAGTATGCAAAGATGAGTAAAAGAGGAATACAGTCGAATTTATTATGATCTATCAAACAAAGGGTCGAAATAATTGCGATGAAATTCTGCTCCGGTACGCTTCAATGGAAATAGTCACCAACCCAACCATGGCGCCGCAAAACGTGTCCAAATAGAGAAACAAAGAAACGACATAAGGGCCTCGAAGATCGGCAAAGTAGAATCTGACGCTCATGTTCGAAGGCCATGGACATCTTGGGCATGCCTCCGCAAGTGCATCTCATGCAAGACGGACAAATCGCAAAAATTACATTTCCGGTCCGTCAAATGTGACGTCTTAAAATGCCTCTTCACTCCATTATAGTCAGAGTATGCCTTGGGACATTGGAAGCATGCGAATATTTGCTCTGCATTCGGGATATGTTTCCCGCCAGAGGTACATCCCTTCTTCCACGACGTATTCAGCGGCGTATCAGCCTTCATCTTTCGAGCTAGCGGAGAAGAAACCCCATCCTCATTGTCGGACGGGGCAGAGCGCTTCCGTCGTCCACGAAGAGGCCCACCCTCCTGAAAGCCGCAATATTGTATTCCAGCAGCAACCGCCTTGTTGCGTCGCGTCCACTCGTCTTCTAATGAATCGGTGGTGGGCCAAGTAAAGAACGTCTCCAAGAGAAGAATCTGCTCCGATGGCATTTCGAACTCTTTCCGTAAGACCTCGCGCGCAGGCTCATCACTGACAGCCCCACCAGTCAGCTGTCTTTCAATGTCAATCACCGCCTGTTTTCGGCTGAAATCGCGGCGTGTTTCTTTCCGCCGTTTTTCTTGCAGACGCCGGCGCAGATTATGGACGTGACGCTTCTGGTCCTCCAGCATCGCCCGCAATACTGGGTTGTGAGAGCGACTAGCGCACTGGGTCTCTAAATCGACTTGCCAGCGTATGGCTGACTGCAGTTCTGGGTCTTTCTCCACTGACTCCCGATCAGCGTCGCTTAGGTATCGTGGTCGCCGCCGATCAATCCAACGGCTCATCCGGGTCACAGCCTTTGAGAACTCTTCGTCTGGATTGAGGCCGCACATGATCTCTTGTAATCCGGTATGCCGACGGGGACGATAATGTTTGATGAATGTTCTGCTGGTGGCATGGGCCATGATCACATTACGCTGAGCTTCACTGACGAAACCTAGACAAAGGCTTTAGTCTACCCATTTAGAGAGAACTTGAGGATTTGTCGTCCACTCACCACTCTTGTCAAGTAGATCACCTCCTCCGTATCGGAATTGGTGAGAGAAGAAATGATTAAGGAAGCCGTGTATCTCACTGAATGTCCTGAGCTGTGCGTCGAGTGTGCTTCCATTCATGGGTGTCTCCCACAAAATGCGGGGCTGGCCACAGATCACCTCAACCTTCGGGAAGACATAGTAATTATCCATCTCTTTCTTCAAGGGAAGTAGCATTTCCTGTCGACCACCCTCGACAAGCAATCTCCGAAGGTCTTCCAGCGATGTTAAGTGAGGCGCTTCAAAGGCCTGAACATAGAATAATATGATGAAGAGTAGGACATGCGGGCTGAAGACAAGTGATACGCCGTAGACAATTTCAGGCAGCGCGAACGTGTTGCTAATTGATATTGACCAGTCAGTCTGATTGTAGCAAAAAATCCGACTCGGGTGCCACCTACAGCTTCGACATGCCCAGGACGCTTTTCACAAACTGGGGCTCGAGTTCGATCATCGGCTTCGGAGGTCCCCCGTGCGGATCCTGCTGGAGCGAGATTTGTAGATGCTTGAACTGAAGGTCAAGCATTGCCTGTTTTCGGTTGATGGTAAATAACCCAACAGTGTTGTATAGACATAGGATAATGCGCTGAAATCCCAAGTGGAATCGCTTCTCCCGTGTTTGAAGGATTGTCTCATTGAATGGAATCATATCTTCGATATATACTGGAACATTTGCGCGTGGTTGTTTGTCCAGACCGCGCTTATCCACCAAGTATCTCATGCCCTGTCAATCTTCGTTAGCGCAAGCCTCCTGCAGACGAATGGGGGGGGGGCGGTCGAAAACACACCGTGCGAACGGCCTCGCCCATCTCTTTACTCATCTCGGTTTTGGTAACTCGCTGGTAGTAAATTCGGAAGTACTTCCAATCCGCTTCAAGGGCGCTGGCCTTTGTATAGCCTTTCTGGCGGCGACCATCGGGACTGTACTCCAGCTTCAGACACCAATTGAGAAATCGATGCATGTCATTTGGAGACGCCTCACGCAGTGCATCCTCCGCCACCCCCCACTTGTGATGAGTGGATGGCTCCATTGCTTTCATTTGGCAGTACCTGAAATGAGGCCAGTCAGTCAGCTAATATTAACACGGTATAAATTTTCACTGATACCCTGATCACTTACCAAGCCCAACGCTCTTTCAGTCGAAGTTTCAACTTCTTTGTTTTATTGGATCGGCCGTAATCCTCCGGTACCTGCGCCAGGTCCTCATCCGTGTCATCGTCAGGGACTTGGTATCGGGCTTGGTGGACGCGTTCCACATTCGACAGGTCTGTTGGTAAAGATTTTGTTCCAGTCTTTGGGCTTGGCTTCTTCCGAGCAATCGTTCGACCCGCTGGAGGAGAGCGCTCTGGCTCGGTGAGATCGGTCTCAGAGGAATCGGGCTCGAACGGTCTATCATCGTCGGTATTGATGGGAGAGGTACAAGAGGATTCGCTCGTGATTCCGTGGTTGCCGGTATTGGGCGTCCTCCGACGATACATGGCTAGTAGATATCGCCGACCGTGCGAAGGAGGTACCTCGGAGCTCGAGATGTGTTAACACACGACTCGACTGAATAGAAGAAGGCACGACTGAAGATCAAGGGAGATTTTTGGAGTGGTGATTGGGTTGAAATGAGGACAGTGTTGGACGGAGGATGGGTGGGAATGGGATATTTATAGCCATGGCGGCTGGAAGCTGGCCAAAGTGCAGCTGGCATGGTGCTGAAGGAGGCCATTTTCGGCGCCTCCCTCTACTGTAGGCGTGGTGGAGCTACTAAGGAGCCCTCAGGGAAACCTAGGTTGTTAGCGCGCACGAAATGGTAGCCTGAGGCATGAAGTGGTGCGTGGTGTGGTGCGTGGTCGAAGGAGGCGGGAGCGTGGCGGAGGCAGGTTGCTGAAAGACGGCCATTTTTGGCGTCACCTGCCGCCGAAAAAGGCAGCTAAATAGCAAAACGCAATTCTTTAAAAGTAAATATAATATATACCTATAGGACAAGCTAATAAGATACCTACCATATAGAGAAATGCAAAACTTAGAAGTACCCAAGAAACCATAGGAATAGATTATAATAGACTTCGTCACGAAACTACCAGAATCAGAAGGAAACGATATGATTATAGTCATCGTGGACAAGCTAACTAAATACATATATATAATCCCAACCATAGAGAAAATCGACGCAAAATAGATAGCTATAATCCTAGTCAGGAATATTTTCGCTAATCATGGATCACCCAAAAAGATCACATTAGATTAAGATAAATTATTCACTTCTAATATATAGCGATCGTTCACGGACTAAATCAGTATTAAGTATAGACTCTCTACCGCCTACCATCCACAAACTAATAGATAAACAGAGTAAACAAATCAGACAATAGAGTAATATCTACGATATTACGTTAATTACTAGTAGGATAACTAGTTAGAATTACTACTAATCGCGCAATTCACATATAATAATATAATATATATAACGACTAAAGAATCACCATTCTTCGCTAATTATAGGTTTAATCCCACAATCATAGGCGATCCAATTAGTAACCATATAGTAGTAGAAACATCATGGATTCTAGCCACAGGAATTAAACAGCTATACCTCTAAATATCACGGGACATTAAGTTCTTTAACCTATATATAAAAAAATACTATAATAAGACTTACTAGGAGGGCCTAGAACTATAAAGGGGGAGAAAGTATACCTCCTCTATTAGAATATAAAAACCAAACGACCTAGCGATAAGCTAGACCATAAATAACTAGGACCATTTAAGATTAAAGAGAAAACTAGACTAGTAAATTATAAGCTAAAGCTACCATAAAGCATAAATAGAATTTACCTAGTATTTTATATATCATTATTAGAGAAAGCGCTAAATAATATAGAAACCGCTACTAATATAGAAATCAAAGACGCTAGTAAAGAAGAATATAAAGTAGAAGAAATCCTAGTGGATAGATAGCATAATAGTTAGTAATAACTCTTAGTTAAATAGTAGGGGTACCCTACCTCAGAAAATACATAGGAACCCATTAAGAACCTAAGGGGCTACCACTAGCTAGTTTAATAGTATTATAATAAGGCGAAAAAGACCCCTAGGGGACGGTAGCTAAGAAAGCGTTAAAATCGATACTTAACTAGTCCACTAAAAGTAAGGGATTAGACGTAGTTATCTACGTCTGACTAGAGTCCTCTAACGTGACCATAAGGACATACATGTCCTTAACGAAAGAAAGGCCAGAATACTCATCAGCGGTTAGAGTAGCCTTCTTTCCATAGTCTTTTAAATAATCGGCCTTAATATACTCTTTTTTAAGACAATCTAATTCTTCTTTCTCGCGACGCTTAAGCTCCTCTAGCTTAGTAATCTCTTTAAAGTCACGAGCGATAAAATCCCTAGCGTAGGACTAAAGTAAAGCTTCCTAACGCTCTAAACGCATAGCGGTAGCTATAGCTTCCTAACTAGCGGTAAGTATAAGGCAACACTTTTCGGCGATCTCCCCCTATAACTTAACTAATCGGCGCCATTCAATATCGGAATAAGTAGGATAGGATATAGTGCACTTAACACCACTACTACCTATTACGTAACTACTATAACGATCCAAATCTTCGATATAGATATATACTCATTTAAGGCGAACGCAACGATCGCACGAAATAACGGCTTAGAAGCCTTCTACGGAAAAACGACCACTTAGTTAATTCTTCTAGACGGAGGACTTAGACAAAGGCATAGCGATAGGGTCATAGCTAAAGGATAGAAAAGGAAACAAAAACCAACACTTACCAGAAGAGGGGAGTAGGCGGTTATAAGACACGAGAGTCTTTAGGGACAAAGACCTAGGAAAGGAGGGGGTAATATTATAGACCTATAGGGGGCCGCACTACCTATGGGGTACTTATACCCAATTATCCTAGATAAACGGGACGACGTATAGGTCACGTGTAAGGCATGGTTCGAAGAACCGTAGCCTCTCCATAACAGGATACACAATACATGATAACTAAAGGTCATTACGATTTAGTGCCATCCTAGGAAATGGACGATCGCACGATAAGTAAGATCGTAGGATAAGGAGTATCCTGCGATACGCCATGGTTATTAGTAACAGGAAAGATCCTACGACGGGTTCCACCCTACAACCAAGGATGCCCTATGATAAGCTACGGTTTAGAACCAAAGGGGGGATTCTTAGGATATAAGGTGTCCTAGGATCAATAATACCCTACGACGGACCATGGTTACTAATAACCATAAATATCCTATGACATAGAGAATCCTGCGGAGCTTAGGACCTTAGGAAAATAAGGATCCTAGGTGTCTGTATACGTAATCAGGCGGTGGAATAGCGACCAATGGGTGTCCCCTTGAGTATCTGTGTCTGTCTGTCCATTCTGCTATCTCCAAGCACGCACCTTATGTGTGTGCTTACTAATATCATGTGATCTAGGTAGCTTACATCATCTAATATATGCCGACACACCCCCTCAGCTTGGGCAGTCTCCCTGCTGGTCAAGCTGGACCCATATCCCTTCAAACCCTCCATTTCTGCCGTCTTTCCAAACAACCTCTATTTCCTAATCCGGACATGCTGACTCATCGGATTTTCCATCTCATTCCATAATCATGTGCTTCACGTCCACCAGGCCTAGCATCTTGACGAAAGCTTCATGTTTCTGCCTCGGCAGCACCTTTGTGAGCCCATCTGCCACCATCTGTCCGGTCGGGACCCACCGTATACGAATTCGACCCTCTTTGACCTCCTGTCTCAGCCAGTGACCATGGATATCCACATGACGGAGCTTGGTGTCGAATGGAGTGTCTTCCGCGTTGATTAAATCCACTGTACGGGCGTTGTCGCACTCGATCGTGAGCTTTCCGGGGTATTCGAACCCAATTCTCCTGAATAGCCTATCCCACCACTGCAACGCCTTGCCGGCATCGGATAGACCCAGCAGTTCAGCCTCGGTCGTAGACGTGGTGACAGTTCGCTGCCTTGTTGCCTTCTAGTCCACAGGCCCTCCAAATATCTGACAGATGTATCCAGCAGAGCTTGTCCGGTCGCCGTTATCCGCATACGAGGCGTCGCTGGATATCCTGACCACCTTGCTGTCGTCCTCTACTGGCCCGTACTGGATCCCCCAGTATCTCGTCGTATACAGGTAGCAGATGAGGCGTTCGATCGCTGCATGGTGCTTAGGTCCTGGATTCTATAGGAATTGAGCGAGGATAGAAGCTCTCTTCGCCGCATCTGGACGGGTGATTGTTGTTCTATACTGCACCGACCCTACTCTCTGCTAGTAGTCCAGTATCCCCTGCGGGGTAGCTTGCCCGTTATATGGATCCAGCTGGTCAACGGTCCCTGGCGTCCATACTAGAGCTCGTCCGGTGAGGTTATATCTTTCTGCAACGCTCGTAAAGTAGCTATCTTGGACTAGCCAGAGCTTCCTTTCTGCTCTATTCCGCAGGATACGAATTCCAAGGAACCATTCTGCGTCACCCTGATCTGTAAGTTCCCAGTGCTTCTCGAGTTCCTGTTCGATCTGACGTGCACGTTCCTTCGCCATATGATGACTTGCTATGAGGATATCGTCCACGTAGAAGAATATGATGATCCCCTCGCCTACGAACACGCACGGATCCTCTCCGACCTGCTCTAATCCAAGGCTTCTTAGCACCTTCGTGGCATCCTGCTGCCAGAGCCTTGGCGATATCCTCAGGCCGTATAGAGCTCTAAGTAGCTGCCAGCACCTGCCTTGGGTTTTGAACCCTTCTGGCATCAAGGTATACACGTGTGTCTGGAGCTTGCTGTTGAGAAAGGCGGCTACTGCATCCCGCTGACGGAGGTCTAGGTCATATGCCGCACATAAGGCGAATAACGTCCTCGCTGTCCGAGCAGCTAACGTTGCTGCCCGCTTCTCTTCGGCCGAAATCGTCTGTAGGTCTCCACGTACACATATCCGCGCCTTGCACTTGATGAGAAAGCCATCCTGATCGAATTTATATGCGTACACCCACATGAGGGGCAGCACCTGTATCCCACGATCCTTTGGCATCTCTACTTCCTGGTATGTGCCCTTGGCCTATAGAGCATCTAATTCCACCCTTATAGCCTTGCTGAAACCGTCGCTTAGCGGGTGCTTCCAGACGTCTCTGAATCTGTCTGGTGGTGGTGGAAGATCGTCTCTATGTTGCCAGTACGAGGGCTTAGGTGCGAATAGACCAGTTGCGAACGCCTGGAGCGTGACTGACGTAGTATCACCATCTGCTGACGTCGTCGTCTTATAGGCAAAATCCTCGTCTCGCCGCTGTCTGCGCACCCTCGGGCCGTTCACGATATTGCCGATATCTAGAGCTGCCCGGTCCACGTCTTCGACCTCGTCTACGGCCTCATCCGGGTCCGTCCGGGCCGGTGAGCTCCCTTCTAGCATCGAAACAGGGGTTTCTAGCGTCAGATCCCCGCTATACCCCTCATTTTCCTCCTCTTCTATCCCCACCCCCTGATCTGCGGCAGAATCCGCGCCTAGAGACCGTGGTGGGGTCCATGTCGTATTTTCCTGTCCGTATGGAGCCTTCTCCTCAATATTTGTACGATTCAAGTCCTGTATCTCATCCTGCTCAGGACTATCTCCGTTGGTAGGTGGTGAGGTGTCTAGCACATCCTTGGCCGGGTCCTGCGCGTCGTCTGCACCCCCTGCCGTCGGAGATAGTCCTAGAGCCTCATCAGTTAATTCAGTATCCGTCACCTGCTCATTTAGGCCCTGTAGGATAGATTCAACCTCATATTCCTTCGGCAAAATTGTCGGTTGTAGGTCCTGCGGGATAGGCATCTTGACCGCCTCATCCGGCTGGATTTCGGCCGAAAAACGTCTAGTCTCATCAAAGACCGCATCTCTTACCATCCGTACCTGCCCGCGGTGGGGCATCCAGATTTTCCAGATATTCGACGCCACATATCCTACCAGATAGCCTACTTCCGCACGAGACCGCATTTTATCCAGTCGTGGAAGGTCAGGAATTCGGCAATAAGCGAGTGATCCATATAGACGTATGTTCGCCAGTGACGTCCTTGGCATCTCCGCTCAGTCCACGAATCTCCGTGCTTCCTCCCACGGCACTATCCATGACCCATTTTCCAGCCTCGTCGGCGTCCGATTCAGCAGATATACAGCTGCTGCAACAGCCTCAGGCCAGAGCTTATCCGGCAGCTTACCTTCCTTGATGAGAGCTCGAGCTCGGAGCGTCAGCACACCGCCAGACCGCTCTCCCGGCCCGTTCATCTCCAGGGAATATGGAACTGTAAACGTGTGGATAAAGCCCATATCGTCTAGGAGCTTATGGATCCGGTCATCCACGGTCTTCTCATTATCCGAGTGCCATACCTTAATCGGTAGCTGTAGCCACTTGATAGCGAAGGCTATAAAGCTCTGAATAGCTTCCTGACAGCCGTTCTTGCTCGTATGAGTCATACTCCAGTGGAACCGTATGCCTTCCACGTAGAAATGCGTTATCCAGCAGTGCTGGTTATATCCCATTGTCATCTAGATAAGGTCGAAATAGACTCGTCCACACTGCCCATAGTGCTTACCAATAGGTCTCCGGGATATCTGTCGGGGGGCATTCACCAAGCTACAGACCTCGCATACTTTATTATCCGGTCCGTCCGGTCGCTCTTCCCCAGACGCAATCTTCACCCCATTGACTAGCTCCGGTAGCTGCTGGATAGCACCTTGATAGACGTGTCCTAGACGTCTATGCCATATCTCGGCCGTTGCCGTAGACGTCTATGGAGCTGCGGACCTCCTAGTGGCGTACACGTGTGGTGTGGGCCCAGAAAGCTTCATTTCTGGTTTGGAAAAGACGTAGATGTCCCGTTCTCGGTAGACCTCGAGAACTGCCTCTCCATTCCGTATTATATGCCCTTTCCGCATATCCCACCAGGATCCTTTCTTCTCCAGTCGTCCAAGCGAGACTAGGTTGCACGGAAAAGTAGGTGCATATTGGCACTCAGATAGCGTCACCTTACACGTCATCCTTGTGACTGGGTTGACTCCATCCATAACCACCGTCCCGATACCGATCGTAGGCGTCTTGCTGTCTCCAGTCTTAAGCGAGGATATGCTGTCACGATATTCCGTGAACATGGAACGGTCGTTGCACACGTGCACGCTAGCACCCGAGTCCAGGATCCACTGGGTCTGATGGTGGTCTTCGTATATCGATAATGCAGTTGCATACGCCACCTGATGGGTCGTGTGGTTCGCCGTCTTCTCCGTAGACGACTCGCTGCTGGAATTCTCGCCTATTTTCGCCTCAATCCAGGTCTTCCATGCAGGCTCCTTGTCGAAGGCCTCGCTTACCGCATCTAGACGTGCCTGATACGGCTCCCATCCAACTGGTCGAATAGCCTCATTCAGGGTCCAGCACTTAATGGCGGGGTGACCTCGTCCGCCACATGGGCACCTCTGCCGCTCCTGGAAGGGCACGAATTTGCCGTTTTTGACTGGTTTTGCCTCCTTATAGCCCTGCCAGGTCGACGTGGCAAACGCCGGCTTAGAGCTCGAGCTAGACGTCTCCGAGACGCCTCCTCGTGCCTTTCTCGTCTCTACATAGGTTGTACGGAAGGAGTCTAGTAGCGTGGACATGCTAGTAGGCTGGCCCTGGATCACGATCTGCTGGAAGCGAGTATCCCACCATACGGGCATGACGTCCTTAATTGCCTGTAAGAACAGCGCCGGATGGAGGTTATCAGGCTCAATTCCAAGGCTCAGAACCTCCTCGCGCAGCAGATCCCACTCGTCTAGCCACTGTAGCACATTCTGACCCCTCTTCGGGCCCTTCATATGCTGCTCTCTCCACCTCACCATAACCTCCATCTTATGCGACTGGGTATGGGAAAATCGCCTCATTAGGAACCGTAAGCGGTCATACGGAGCGTCCAGGCGGTCCATCAGCTGGTGTAGCTTAATATCAACTGATACCAGTAGCGCCTGGTCAACTAGCTGCATGCCCTTCCGGATCCTCTGCTGCTTAGCCAGGGAGAGCTTATATATCTCCATATCGTCTCTCCAAGCAGCCTTCTCCTCCTTGAATTCCTCCTTTAGGGCCCGTAAAGCCGCTCCAGTGGCCTCTCCGGGGTCGAATTGTGGGGGTTCCGGCATGGCGGGCTCCCTAGGGGGTTCAGGATGGTCTGCTCTCGCGATCTCGGGATTACAATATTCCCAGACGTCGAGAGTCTTCGCATACCGCCTCAGCGCAGCATACCAAGGTTGCCATTGAGAATTGGTCCTCAAGACCACCTTCTCTCCATTCCATGAGACAGAACTCAAGTCCATGGTCAATTCCAGTCAATTCCGGGTCTGATCATAGATTATCAGGTCAATTCAGGGGTAGGCAGTCCAGATATTGTCTGAATAGCCTCAATTTCACCAAATTCGATGATATCAGAGTAGTTCCGGGCTCATAACTGTCTGTATACGTAATCAGGCGGTGGAATAGCGACCAATGGGTGTCCCCTTGAGTATCTGTGTCTGTCTGTCCATTCTGCTATCTCCAAGCACGCACCTTATGTGTGTGCTTACTAATATCATGTGATCTAGGTAGCTTACATCATCTAATATATGCCGACACTAGGAAAGGATCACGTGCTAACTCATTGAGTGATAAGTGCAGCTCATCAAGCGATAAGACCAGAATAGATCAAGCGATGAGTCCCGGACTTATTAAGCGATGCGACGGATTAGATATATAAAGACGGTCATTACCATAGATGTATTTAGTTCTTCGCGTTCAATCATACATTATTACTTAGAACCTACAGTTCTAGCTTCACACTTATTTCGTATTTAAGACAACCCACCCTACTAGGAGAGGTACCCTTAGTCTCTTGTCACTTAACACAGATCCTAAGCATAGCTTGACTAGGCGCACTATCTAGCGCAGACCAACAAGAGTCTACTCTATAGACCCGAGCCCGTGTAAGGCCTTCAGGCAACGGTACGGTTGCGATTAAGACTTGAGGCCGAGCCTCGACGTACGTATAACGGACCATACGAGCGATACTCACTATGACCAGTTAGCACCGCGTAACATTTCTATCCTAAGAATTTCCTAAGAAGACCCTGAATTAGCTTAGCTTGACCACATTGCCTTGTTTATCTGATCTAATTCCCTGAGATTAGTAACCAGTTGCCCTGCCAATCTCAGACACTATATTATATAGAGATATATCTAGACCTGGACAAAACCCGCGGGAGGTCCTAAATTCTTGTCCCGTGCCCGCGGGTCCTTAGTCATACAGGCCGGGATAATATGGTTTTGACCACCACGCCCCACTCCTATGGGATTTTTTTTTGACCGATTTCCCGTCCTGGGTATACCCACGGGTTTCCCATGGGAGTCGTAAAATTACCCATATCTACATAAAGTCCCTATATAATCTGCTGACTAAGAATACTGAAAGATTAGTAATTTAAGCTGTTTTAGTATGTAATATAGAGCTAGAATCGAACTTAAAACCTTAAAAAAAGGGTAGTTCTAGTGGAATTTAGTAGTTCTGGTGGAGTTATATAGTCACGTGCGTATATAGATTACTACTAAAAATACAGAAAAAATTGGATAATTAATGCATGTCTAAAAAGGGTAAGTTTGCACTGTTTATAATACCTGTGGGAATACCCATATCCCATCGCGGGCGGGACATACCCCCCTAGTCCCGCCCATGGGACGGGACAAACCATTTTTGACCACCGCGCCCCACTCCCGTGGGACTAGTTTTTATGAAATTACCCGTGCCACGGTCTATCCCATGGTGGGAATCCCGCGGGTTTTGTCCAGGTCTAGGCCTAACGGCAAACGGTACGATTGCGTGTGAGACTTGAGGACGAGCCTCTCGGTACGTATAAGGAACCATACGGACGACACTCACGGTGACTAGTTAGCACCGCGTAACATATTAGTACAGTAGATTTCGAAAACAGATTACCCCTTATGCACACTGACTTTGTTTCTCGGCCCGTACCCGAGTATACACTAGTCCATATCAGGCAAGGCGGTCAATACTTGTTTTCTAAGAATAGACCCATTAAAAAACTAGAACGACGTAAAAACGAAAAATACTATATAGCTGTATAAAGATCGCCCTTTTCTTGTCTCATATGAATCGTTCGCTCTAAATACTATTCCTTGACAAACAAACCCAACATGCCAGAAAGAATGGGCAGCTGGCAGCGGAAATGAACGGTACGTGCTGAGGGCGAAAAAGTAAGCAAGTACCATCCATTTGAATGGCTCACGAGCTCATAGCTCGTCGAATCGAGAAGCAATTGCCTCTAGACTTGGGCCCTTGGTTTCCACCAAGTAAAGATAAATTCCCAAAACCTCTACAACCAGCCACCCAACATAAACCAAGTAGTATTTCCATCCAATCGCAGACAGACCAATAGGGTTCACGAAGGCGTTGACAAAGTTCGCAGCCTTGCCGAAGAACATAAGCACCGTAAACCCCTTGGCCCGGATTGAATAAGGTAAAACCTCCACAGGGTAGGAGTAAAGCAAAGCATTGAACCCCAAGTTGTAGAAAGTGTAGAACAGGAAGAGCATGGCGATAACAGCATACCCAGCTGCATGGTTTGCTGTCTCGTTGAACAAGCCTGCACATAGAGTCTGACTGGCGAATACCGCCAGCATACCCGCCGTGGAAATTAGAAATTGGGTGCGGCGCCGCAAATGAGCTGTCAAAAATGCGGAACAAATGGAACAGATCCAACTCCAAATCATCAGACACCCATTAATTGTGTTCTTCGTCTTATAACTCGAGATACCCACTGTGTCCAGAACACGTGCGAGATAATATCTATCAAACCTGATTAGTAAAAATATATTGCGTGGTAAAAAGATGGACATAAATCCGCAAGGGAGCTGCGATGGCAAACTTACGAAACCAAGCCATTCCCAGACCATTGCGAGAAGACGCCCAGCATAACCATTAACAACATCCTCCGGCGATTACCCTTGTTGGAAATCAAGGAGCGCCAGGAGATCTCATTAGCCACCACATCTGCTTCGATGACCTGCTTCATCTCCAAAAATTCCAGTTGCATTAACTCATCATTCTCATCACCTTCTGCGTGATATTTGATCAAGATATCTTTCGCTTTCAGGCTTTGACCATTAGCGATCAACCAACGGGGTGACTCTGGTAGAAAAAGCACACAAGCTGCCGTGATGATGGCCGGTACCGCTTGAACGAGAGATGGAATGCGCCATGCCCAGTTATTGGGGATGGGAAAAGTTGCGAAAGTAATCCAGGCAGCCATGGTTGCACCCAAATACCATGTTGTTTCGTATAGAGAGGTTGCCACCTGGCGGTCTTTTGGATGGGAGAGTTCGCCGATAAGGATCGGCGCATAAGTGTTGGCAAATACAAGCCCGAATCCGATTAGATAGCGGGAAACAAGAAACATAGCAACTAAAGAAAATATGTCAGCCAGTGCTTTCTGGATTGAACGGAGCCAATGGACTAACTGTGAACGGATAGACCCTGGATGATACCGCCAATCCCCATGATGGCTGAGCCAAGTAGGATCCCTTTGCGTCTGCCCCATCGATCTCCGACTAGGCTGATGAACGGAGTTGCACAAATAGCACCCAAGGACAGAATCGCAGTAAGCAGACCGAGAATACTTCCGCTTGGATAGTTGAAATCTGGGTAAAAGGATGAGTAAACCGGCTTCCAGGAAAGTGTTGCATTGAGATTCCTCACATTCATTCCATGTTCCAACGGCCTGGAGTCCATTCATCATGGCAGAGTCAAACCCGAGTGTCACCGATGGAACAAGACAGCCGGGTATCATCAACAAATACAGGTTCATCAAGTTATGTTTTCGGTAGAATGGCGGCGCATCCTGCGCCAGGCGACGAATGCGACTGTCGGCGTCTGCAACATCTAGTTGATCTTTGTTCTCTTTGTTCTCTACAAAGGTAGTCTCAACTTCGTGCAGGCTCTTCACTGTCTTTGACGACTCCATGGTAACGACGGACAGTTTATATGCACAGAATTGAGATGCTTCTTGGAAGTAATAAAGAATCTCCAAACATCGAGTTCAAGCAACGTGCTTATATACTTTCGCGGAGTTTTGTTCAAGCGCACTCCCCGGTTATTGAAGGATTTAGAGATCGCTCAAGATTGCCTCATGCATGGTATGGGGAAATCTCGCGTGCAGCCTGGAGAAAATCTGGAGACTGGGGGGCTAGTGCGCCACTTAAATGGGCTCCGAGAAGTTCGGTATTGCACCAATTGCAGGCCTTTTAGGCCGCGCCTGTCGGCAACCTTTCGGCGGTGAGTCAATCACATTAGTTCAAGTCGGCTGATAAGTTCAGTGGCAAATGTGGGCTCTTGGGGAACCTGGTGAAGTGAAAATCGTGGGGTTCTAGCGGAACGCGAACCGGGCGTATCGGCCTTTCACCAATCACAGCCTTTGGTTTCCGGACTCCTCCCGTCCAAGTGTCGGCATTCAACTCCCTGCGCGTGGTCGCAATCGAGCCACCGTCAAAGGGATTACGGCTTCAAACACCGAAGGGAAAAGCGTTCAGCCCTTCAATGATTATAAATGGAGCAAAATCCGACTAAAGCAACTTACTCCTGGGGTGTTCCCCTTTCTCTATATTCTTTGCTCTTTTGGGTTCATCTCCGCGGTCATGATGGACCATTCTGGGACCTCTATTGATGCGCTGCTAGCAAAGTTGACACGAGAAGAAAAGGTCTCGCTTCTTGCAGCTACAGATTGGTGGAGAACTCCAGAAATTAGACGGGATGGGATATTTGTCCCACACATTAAGGTCAGTCATGATACCCCGCCCGTGCAACTCTCTCTGACGAGGAGCTGGTCGGCAGGCGACGGATGGGCCGAACGGTGCGCGAGGCGAGAGCTACGTTAGTGGTATCAAAGCCGCTTGTTTTCCCTGTGGTACTAGTCTCGGAGCAAGCTTTGATCGGGCCCTGGTTTTTCGCACCGGCCAGGAAATTGCGAAAGAGGCCAAGTTGAAGTCTGCGAATGTGCTGTTGGCGCCAACGCTTAACGTAATTCGCTCACCAAGAGGTTTGTGAATACTTTGAAAATTCATTGACTAGGAAATTACTAATTACACCACTGAGAACAGGAGGACGGAACTACGAAACCTTTTCTGAGGACCCTGTGGTGCTGGGAAACCTTGCCGCTGCTTTTATCAACGGTGTGTACATTGCGTAACTTGATCCATCAGCGACTGATTTGTGGGCTAGGTTGTCAATCTGAAGGCATTGCGGCAACGCCGAAACACTTTGTGGCAAACGAGACCGAAAATAATCGAAAAGTCTTGACAGCCGAGGTTGATGAGCAGACCCTCCGCGAAATTTACATGATGCCTTTCCAAATTCTCATGAGATTTTCGGACCCTTGGTGCCTTATGACGAGGTAGCGCTCCACGACCATGCTCGAGAACTCATAATACTTACCAAAATATCTCTACAGCTACAACCGTGTCAACGGTATTTATGTTGCCGACGATGCCAGACTTGTGAATGGAATCCTTCGCAAAGAATGGGGCTTCAAAGGGCTAGTGGTATCAGACTGGATGGGAGTGTATTCTACTGCGGCATGCATCAATGCTGGAGTAGATTTGGAGATGCCCGGTCCAACGAAGCTGCGTGGCGACAAACTCCTGCTCGCTATGAAACATGGTCAGGTATCGGAGACGACAGTAAATGACTCAGCCCGGCGGGTTCTCGAGCTTGCTTGCAAACTGGGTCGATTCGAAACTCCCAACGAGTTGCCAGAGCAGTGTGTGGAAGATGATGAGCGCAATCGTTTTATTTGTGAAGCTGGAGCTCGGGGAATGGTGCTTTTGAAAAACGATGGCGTGTTGCCTATGCGCAAAGGGGCTTCCGTGGCTTTGATCGGCCATCACGCCCAGTACCCATCCCTTGGAGGGGGAGGCAGCGCTCGAGTGGACTCGATTCGGGCAGTTAGCCCCGCGGAAGGACTTCGAGATGAAGGATTCGAGGTCACATTTTGTGCCGGAGTACCTGTGTATGGAGCTCTACCTCATGCCGACCCCTCTCTTTTCTACCATTCGGGTACGAAAACACAAGCGAAGGAACCTGTCGTCTTGGAATGGTTTAACGGGCCCAGTATTGGTCACAACCTGGTTCACCAGGAAACGCGAGCGCTGCCAGAGTACATGATCAAGGAAAAATGGCCGGTATTCCTCGACCAAGTATACTGCAGCCGCATGACATTTGACATCTGCCCCACCTCCACCGGTGATCATGTTTTCTCTGTGATATCGACCGGTCCGGCTATTTGTTATGTGAACGGCCAAAAGGTGTTTGAGAGGCCTCAGGAGACCGATCTCAACCCGGAGTCGTTTTACTTCTTCAAATCAAAACTTGAGCGCCGTTTCAGCCACCGAATGGAGGCCAGTCGTTGTTACACCGTCGTCCTGGAGTCTTGGTTTACAGACCAAGAGCTGCTCCGCGCCGAACCTTTGAACGGTCGAATGTTTCAGGGTGCTGCCTTGCGCTTCCAAGAGTTTGTGGATGTGCATCAGCGCATCCAGGATGCCTGTATCGCAGCACGAGAATCAGATTATGCGGTTGTGTGCGTTGGGACGACAAACGAAATTGAGTCAGAGGGATTTGATCGCGAGACGATGGATCTCACCGATCTACAGTATCAGCAAATTGAAGCTATATCACGAGCAAACCCGAGGACCATCGTTGTCAACTTCTCTGGAGGGCCTGTTACGATGACAGACTTTATCGATGAAGTGGCTGGTGTGATCCAGGCATGGTTTCCTGGTCAGGAATGCGGACATTCCCTTGCCAAAGTTGTGAGTGGCGCTATTAATCCAAGCGGACGCCTCCCGTTCACTTGGCCGCGCAAAGATGAGGATAATCCAACTTTCCACAATTTCCCCTGCGATGCGCAGAATGTCGTCCGGTACGATGAGAAGCTAGATGTCGGCTACCGGTATTATGACCGCTGTAGTGCTCCTACTCCCCTCTTTCCATTCGGATTTGGTCTGTCATACACCAATTTCCGGATCGACAATATCACAGCCAAGGCTGAATCGTTCTCCGGGGTTAACGATGCGATCGAGATTTCTTGCAACGTTCACAACGTTGGTGGGTGCAATGGCGCTGTTGTAATACAATTTTATGTCCAGATGCCCAAAATAAGCTCTGGTTGGGAGCGGCCTGTCAAGGAATTAAAGGAATTCTGGAAAGCGGAGCTAACACCCGGTACAAGCCAGGAGGCATGTATAACACTTGACAAATACAGTATCAGCTTCTTCAATGCCACACAAAGTTGCTGGCAGGTGCAACAAGGCATGTACCAAGTGCACGTGGGGCTTTCCTCACAGGAAGTTCTCGGGACATTGGAATTCTCGGTTCCAGAGGGATTGACCTGGAATGGGATATAGTTCTCAACAAATAGAATTTACTTCCTCAAATTCTTGAAAAAGCAGGTCTGGGTTAACAAGACCGTTCTACTGGGAGTTGTTACTGTTCTCTTATAGAAGATGATAAAAAAATCTCTTTTGTTTTTTATTCATTGTGGCGAAATCCTCTACTTAGGACTTCCGGGACTTCACTGTGCGGCTGCTGGGAATAAACGTAAAGACCAAATCCTTTGCGCCCTGTAAAGTAGGATATGTTGGGTCAGCTGAGACTTGAAAAAAGGTCCATTCGTCATTTTGAAAATAGAACATGATCATTTACCTGCCGTTTCGTAATTCAGTCGCTCAAAGCTTGTTCCAAGGCTCATAAGCTGGTCGTATAGAACAGTATGCCAGGTCGTTTTGTCAAGCCAGAACTCGGGTTGAGTACATGTGTGCAGGAAGCACTCAACCTGGCCACCCTAGGATTGTCAAGACAATCAACACACTAGAATCATAAGGAACTGGGATATTTGTACATACAACCCAATTGAAGAGGCGGCAATGATGCTTCACTCGTGAAAGGCACTCGCGCACAGCCTGAATATGAAATTGCGCTGCTTCCACTTCGCCAAAGTTTCTGGTTGAAAGGACTTTGTGAACCAGCACTACCACTGTCGTTGTTGCAATCTGTGCAAAACAAGGGTTATGCAGGTCACAGCTAGCCATATCCCAGAGGCCACTCATGATTTCTGTGGCCTGAACTGCATAATGATATATCTTTGATACATCACAAGTAAGATAGTCGTCAAAATAATCACTTCCTGAGTTGTAGGTTACTGGAGGCCAGGTAAGACACTCAAATAACAGAAGCTGCCATGTATGGCGATGTATTAAATGAAGGAAGGTGAACGGTCGGAGCTGGAATTTCTCTAAGTGAAGTTTCATATTCTCTTCTGAGTACCACAAGGCACTTGGAAGAGACATCCTCCAGCGCTCGAGCCTGCCACGAAAGTCGTCCAGAACGTCGACGGGAATTGAAGGCCACTGTTGGCGAATCAGGAAGAATATTTCCGATAGACGGAGTATTTCATTCATAGGAGATGGTTTGCGTTCGGATGGGGATAATGCGAAGGTTCGTGATTTAATCATATTGAAGTCTTCTTCGCTATAGAGTATCGGTAGAGGCGAGATTGGTAGGAGGCTGCGGCGAATAGTAATGGAAGGAGTGAAAAGATTTTCCATCAAGCCAATTGTAGCAACTAGGCGGCGAGACATTTCGTCCTGGAAAGGGTCTGTTTCAGGTGGATTTTGATCGAGCTGAAGTAAGTTCACAATAGTGCGAGCAAATCCTGGCAGAATAATGTCAAAAATGGATCGCTCGCTACGTAGACGGAGGGGAAGCTACCTAAAGATAACCAGGCCTTTCTCGTGCCGCCGAAACTGAAATGATACGTTGATAGGAGAATATAAATTTGAGCGGTGATAATAGATGGATGATCAAATTCATTTTTCAACAGGTTCCGAGCCTCATTAAACAAAGGCTCTCCCCAGTGAGCACGTAAGTGAGGGTTCTCGAAACGTGCCTGAGTATATCTAGCGAATTTTAGCTTATAAATTCGTCCAAGTCGAGCATCCACAATCGCCGGTCTATGCCGGTTTATAGGTAGACCAAGGCACACACAGGTGTTCAAATTAATGGTGGCTTGTCTTACCGGATACCCAAGGCCATTATCGCGTAAAGAAGGGCTTTGGGGACATTCCCAAGCGCAAATTGGCGCAAAAAAGATGTTTGGTCGAGCATGACATGGATATCATCGAAGTTGTTGAAATATAGCAGAAGCAAACTCTGAGTTAGTTCCCCCTCGCGGAGTAATTCAGCAGGTGATCCAGTGCCAACATCTAAGCTGGAATTACTGTTCAGTAATGCCAGGCTTTGGACGTTTCCACGTGCTCGGGCTAGAGGCCGGAGACTTGGGTCAGCAGAGGCTGGATCGTACGCTACACTTGGCTCACGGGTGATGGGTTGAGGTGCGAGCGAGCAGGATACATTTCGATTTATGCAATGTTTGCATTGGGGACCACTCTGGGAGGGAATGCATTTCACCTTTCGAATTCTTATGACCGAGTAAGTATTGTCAATTGTGTGTATATCGGGAGAAAGAAAAAAAGATCTGACCTGCAGGATAAGCAAGCGCCTCGGACCATGGTGGTACTGTTCTGGTAAACGCTAAACCAACTCTGTCCTTATTTGTTCAATGGTCTATTTTTCAATCTGACGTTTAGCTTTCCTCCCATGAATGGAGAAATTTTGGCCACTGACTGTAAGTTACGTAACGCAGATGGAGCTTACCATTCGTTTATGCAATCTTTTTGACTGGAGAATCACTTAGTGCTTGCGCGATGAGTGATAAAGTCAAAATCTCTGAAATATAAGAGAGGAGAAATGAAGCATGGTGAGCAGAGGAAAATTGGCTAAATGGTCATGTGGCCCACAATCTGGAGTGCTTTGATGACGTAAGAGAGCCCGGAGCGATCTTTAAACCGAGGTCGCCAGGGCAATGACCCGTTCCCGCCTAGAATGTTCTTACAGATTTCCAGTATTTTACAATGACGTCGAAACCCAATACATGTTAGTACATGTTTTGAACCGAGTTGAACCGAGTAGCGACCGTTCCACCGCAACCAAATAAGACTTAGTGTATACTCGGGTACGGGCCGAGAAACAAAGTCAGTGTGTCTAAGGGGTAATCTGTTTTCGAAATCGACTGTAGGGAAGTTTATCAAAGGTTCTTTATCTCCCAATGATAGCTAGCCTTCCCGGTCATAGATACGCCCTTGTCCCCTGTATAGGATACGGCGACGGTATCCGCTCTAAGGCTTTCTTATCTTCGCATATCTATTTAGAAATAAGGTAATCTACGCCTTATAGAAATGGTTAGGAAATTTAAGTGAAATTGTGGCATATTTATCGCAGAGCATAGGCGATGGCGCGCTTATATATAGAAATATTCGTCCTGATAAAGAAGATTTCCCGTGTCCTGCTGCGATAGAAGATACAGAAAGTCACCCGTCGTGCATATAGACTAGACTTTATCATTAGCATATACTGCCCATTTAGGCTAGTCAAATAAGTAGCAAGGAAAATCGGCCGATATTAGCCGTTGTAGTTAAGCTTAGCGCAGTATTCCCGGATTAATTTACGTGCTAAGCTAGTACGTTTTAAGCCTAGTGTGATTCGAGTAGGATTGCATGTTTTCTAAAGAGAATCCTAATGATTCTCCTCTTAAGGGTCCGGCCGGAGGCGGTGTGGCTTAGCAGAATCCGGCCGGATTCTGCCGGGCGGTAATAGGTCGTCCTATTACCTCATCCTCCCCCACCAGACCAGAGCATATTCTACGCTCCGTAAACTGAAATTTTCTAAGTACATAAGATCCTACCTGACAATTCATCCTCCGTGCGTGCCCCATCGGACGCGGCCAGGAGAGCCAGCATCCTTCTATGATCTTTTCAAGTAATACAGGGGAAGAGTAGCTAATTTTAGATACATATAGGGGTCAACACACATAATTCATTATGCTTAGGTCTTTATACGCATTATAGACAAAGGAAATCGCTCGTCTAGAGCTTAGCGTGACCAGGAATAGGCGCACGCGTCTTTAAGGACAGGGCTGAGTGTTTTAGCTCTTATAAAGGCCTTAAAAGCGGCCCTTATCTTTAAGTTCTATTCCAGTAGACTTGGTAACGTCTTAGTTAGGTCTAAGTAAAGGATTCTACTTATCCTTACTTATGACTAGCCCATTAACGTTCTTTATATTTGCTTACTAGGAATAGAGAGTCCTAATGCCAGCGAGGTATAAGAGGACGTAACTTACCCGTCTTCCTCTCTCTTCTATTTATCACACTCTATTATTATCTCCTATAATATTTCCTTATTTAGATATCTCTATTCTAGTACTAATAAGTACCATGTCCTATAAGATACCCCTCTCTCTTATATCCTGAAAAGGATGATGGGTTGTCGGCTAGCGCCGGCCGGGCCTACAGAGCGGGTGACAAAGCCCCATACGCTCGAGGACCGGACTCGGTGCCGCCGCTGCCTTTCGGGCCCGTCCCCGGGGGGACGGAGCCCAACACACAAGCCGTGCTTGAGGGCAGCAATGACGCTCGGACAGGCATGCCCCCCGGAATACCAGGGGGCGCAATGTGCGTTCAAAGACTCGATGATTCACTGAATTCTGCAATTCACATTAGTTATCGCATTTCGCTGCGTTCTTCATCGATGCCGGAACCAAGAGATCCGTTGTTGAAAGTTTTAACTTATTTAGTTTATGCTCAGACTGCAATCTTCAGACAGAGTTCAATGGTGTCTTCGGTGAGCGCGGACCCGGGGGCAGAAGCCCCCCGGCGGCCGTGAGGCGGGCTCACCGAAGCAACAAGGTACAATAAACACGGGTGGGAGGTTGGACCCAGAGGGCCCTCACTCAGTAATGATCCTTCCGCAGGTTCACCTACGGAAACCTTGTTACGACTTTTACTTCCTCTAAATGACCGAGTTTGACCAAGTTTCCGGCTCTGGGGGGTCGTTGCCAACCCTCCTGAGCCAGTCCCAAGGCCTCACTGAGCCATTCAATCGGTAGTAGCGACGGGCGGTGTGTACAAAGGGCAGGGACGTAATCGGCACGAGCTGATGACTCGTGCCTACTAGGCATTCCTCGTTGAAGAGCAATAATTGCAATGCTCTATCCCCAGCACGACAGGGTTTAACAAGATTACCCAGACCTCTCGGCCAAGGTGATGTACTCGCTGGCCCTGTCAGTGTAGCGCGCGTGCGGCCCAGAACATCTAAGGGCATCACAGACCTGTTATTGCCGCGCACTTCCATCGGCTTGAGCCGATAGTCCCCCTAAGAAGCCAGCGGCCCGCAAATGCGGACCGGGCTATTTAAGGGCCGAGGTCTCGTTCGTTATCGCAATTAAGCAGACAAATCACTCCACCAACTAAGAACGGCCATGCACCACCATCCAAAAGATCAAGAAAGAGCT